AACGCCAATCTGCTTCCTCCTCCCGCTCCTCCTCATCGATACCAAACTACTCCAATGTAGATCTAAAAGTCAAGAATTACCTCAACTCAAGCAAATTTGACATTCCCAACCCATTTAACTTCTGTCCAAGTTACAGCCCCGGGGATGGATCGGTGCAAAGTATGGCGCTGTTACGCTTTTGAAGGGTAGGATGCACCTTGGGAGTTGGGAGTGGCGCGAGGATTCAGAGGGTGTTGAATAGGGTGTAGGCGGGTCTGAGTGTTTCTATCTCTGTTCTTGGCGGTTTAGGTATCTGTCCCTTGTTTCCTTCCTCTTCCTCTTTCCACACCTGCAGACTCACGTACACCTACGCAGTGTCAGCATGTCATGGTGCAGGGGACGACCCTTATTATTGAGCTGGATACGGAGGATGAACCGTGCGTTTTCTTTCGTTTCTCTGCTCCTTTCTTTCGTTTCTCTGCCGTTTCTTTCATACCACCCATTTTTTATCTTTTTCTTTTGCTTCTGTTCATTGCGACCGCCTGGCGCCCACCCTAATTATCACACATTTCGTGCTGTCTTGTCATCACACCTGCCCCAAAGACAGACTCTTCCCACACCAAGCAAGGGTAGCCACCCAAGAGGCCATCCTATCTTGCTCGTTTGCCTCTGACGCGACTTCATTATGCATTTACCTGGACGATTTTCGCTTTCAGTCCCCTACCCTATCCATGTCCCACTTCCCAGAAACACCCTACATCTTGAAGGTCGAGCTTGGGCTTGACGATCAGCGTCATCGTGTTGATTTTTCCATTTTCTATTTTATTACCCCCAGCTTCCGCGTCGTTGTGGGTCGGGGGAGTTTGTGGATCCTGTCCTTCTTTGAGCACGACGATCTGTTGTGTGACCTTGCTTACCCTTTTTTCCCCCATACTTCGGCTAATTTCTGGACAGATGTGAACCCCCCTCCCTTCTTCTCTTCTTGTCGTGTGCTTCTCCTTCGGTTTGGTTGTCCTCTCGATAACTTCCATGTATCCCCTCGCCCGGCCAGCGGCGTTTGGCAGGCATCCTGTGCACGTTTCTTTTCTTTCTTTCTGAATTGTGGTTGAAAGTTCTGGAGGGAGCTTCTTTCCTCTACCCATCGCGACCGAGGGCTTGGCCTTGAATTTCTATATGTTTCTTGTTAGGCCTTTCTTTCCTATTGAATTGAATGCTTTGTGTTTGTCTTCATGTGAGTTTTCTTTACCCCGCAATATTCTGGGAGCAACCTCAACTTCGACTCCGTTCGTTCGTCTGGTCTTTTGTTGCATGTTGGTGGCGCTCATGGTCGTTAGTTTGTAGATCCTGTCCTCGTTTCTGGAAGCCATGGCGCAGACGTGGATCTTTCTTCTCTTCTGGTCGCGTTTCCATGCGGCTTCTCCTTCGCTTTGATCATACTCTAGATAACCTCCAGGTTGTCCCCTCGCCCACCCAGCGGTGTTCACAGTTTGGCAGGCTGTGCATGTTTCTTTCTTGTTAAAAGCTCCGCGACCAAGGGCTTTGCTTTCAATTCCTATACCTTTCTCATGTTCCTCCCCGCTTGCCCTTTCTATCCTTTTCCTGAAAGTTGGGGTTTCCCTTCTGTCATTCAAATGTGACTGCTTGTTTGCTTCTTTTCTATTGGATTGAATGCTTTGCGGGCGTCTTCTGCTTCCTACCATGTCGGTTTGATGAACTCTGGGTCTACTCGTCCACACGTGACACAGCGGCGTTTGGCAGGCAGCCTGTGCATCTTTATCTCTTGTGCTTGAGCGCTCTGGAGGGAGCGTCCTTCCGCTTTGTTCCTTTGCGTTTCTCTTATACATCGCGACCAAGGACTTCCTATACCTTTCTGTCAGGCCTTACTATCCTCCACGCTTGCCTTTTTTTGAAAGTCGGGGTCTCCCTTCTGTCATTCAAATGTGACCGCTTTTTTCGCTTGTATTGTATGTTTTGCCTTTGTTTTCTGCGTCCTATCATTCCCTGCAATATCTTGAGAGCAGGTCTCCAGTTCTACTCCTTTGGGTCTTTTGGTCTTTTACTGCATTTTGGGGCTTTCATGTGGTCGTCGTAGTGACTGCCTTTTCTTTGTCTTTCCGCTCCGTCCTCATCTAGCGTCTTGGATCCTTCAACTTCTCGCAGTTAAAACTTCCCTTTATCTTCCATCACCTCTTCCTTCACCTCCCTCTTTCTCCCTTCAACTTCGAGACTAACCCATCTCACAGGAACCAAGACATGATGAATCACTTTAAAATTCCATCCTCATCAGACCCGACAGACCCGCCGTCCTCCTCCTCAGACACTTCTCACCCCAAACACACGGTTTCGCAGGGCCAGACCATAGGACAACATCGTCGCGCAATTCTACGACGTCCCCCACGTCTTTGTCAAATTTGCCCTCTTCCCCGATTACATGTGCGACCCAAAGTCTATCCAGAAGGGATCCTGTCCTCGCCAGCCCGTCAGGGCACGAGCTCATCTTGGAGATACTCGTGGCGTACTTCCAGAGCCAGATACGTACGGCGTGGAGCGTGGCTACGGGGTCGTTGTACGAAGCTGTCCCAGTGCACACCACAGGATTCGAAGCAGGCACAGGCGACGCTCATGGGCTATTTGGCGGCGTTGGTCAGCGTCCTGGAGTCCCTGAGCCAGAAAAGGGTGATGTAGCCGTTGACGCAGCCGTGGAAAAGAAGATGGCAGCAGCAGCGATGAAAGACCGGGGGGACACTTCCTCCTCCTCTTCCTCTTCCCCCCAGCTCCTCACCGTCCCCTCTGGCCGAATCAACACCCGATCAAACGGGAACCGTCCCTTCGAAGAGATCGCCCCATTCTGCGTCTCCGTCAACGACCTCATCAACCCCCTACCACTGTCATTGTTCTACAGCTTGGGGTGGTACGCGCATCATTCGAGTGGGAGTGGTGGGGATGCGTCGATTACGGCTGCGGAAGGGGAGTTCGGTTGAGTGTTGGGTTGATGATAATGATGCGGGTTTGAAGGTTGTTGAGAATGCGGCGGATATTGGGGATGCTATACCTACGTATGTCCCTCTCTTCTTTCTTCTTCTTCCTCTTCTTATTCTTCTGTAGGTTGAGGATGATCGACCATTATGCCAGTGTTGGACGAACCTCGCATTTCGTGGACTGTCAGTTGTTGGGTGAGGAAGGACAGAGTGTGCCCAAAGTGTGCCGATGTTCAAGATCCTTGGGATTTTCGCGACGTCAACCCATTGTTACTTAGTGAAGGACTGAGTAACGTTTGTACGTTCCCTGGTTATAAGGATGTAGAATATGATTTGTGTACTCGAGATGCACGCGGATCTAATATATGAACTGGAAAGATGACTAATTTCAAATTTCGACTCGGACGACCACCACCACCACAGCTCGCCTCATTGCTACTCCCTGCCTGCAATCTCAAGGCACACCAGCTGAAGAGGGAGATACTACACCTCCGACGACGACGCAAGAATGTCCCACATGTCCTCAGAACCTAGAAACTTTGGCGCGTTTTCAATTGAAGGCCCAGACCTGGTAGGTTAAAAAAATTCCATACAGCATATAACCATTAGTAACTTCCTTCCTTTCCGCCAACTTCCCGCCTTCCTTGACTCAAGATCGGCCTCCCACATCATGTGGGCCACATGCACGGTGCACCTCCTTCCGACTGGATTGGCTCTTCTAGAGCCGGGAAAGTTTCCCCTCGGAAATCTATAAAGCTGCTGGCTCTCGCTTCCCAACTCCAGATAGCTTTCGGAGAGTTAACCGTTCTCTCCAACGCACCCTTCTGTTAACCTCTAGCTACGATCCTTTGAAGCACAATGCATTTCGCGCTTGTATCTGTTGCGCTCTTAGCTGCCTCGACCACGGCCTTCACCCTCTTCACTCGTCAGTCAGACGTCGTTGTCTCCCGTACGTTGTTCCTCTAAACTCACATACTCCCCCCCTTATGCTTAAAATAACAACACTCTATGCATCTTTCTGTGACTTAGCTTGCGTCGACAAATGTGTCAAGAACGGTGACCGAGGCAACTGCTTAGAAACAGACTACGCCTGTCTCTGCGAGAACAAGGCCTACATTGGTAGCGTTATGGGGTGCGTCAAGAACACCTGCCCGAGCGACCTTGCTGCGGCTCAGCAAGCCGGCCGAGAGCTCTGTCTCCGTTTTGTGCGTCGTTCCAAGTCTTTTAGCTTTACCCCATTTTTTTTAGTGTTTTGCATAATCGCTTTCTAGGGCGTGACATTGCCATCCGACGCGGTTTTCGTTGAATCCTCTACCACCTCAGCAGCAGCGGTGTACGGTTCTGCGAGTGCCACGAGAACCACTGCTCCGGCGTACAGCACCACTGCGCACTACACTGCAACAGTATCCTCCACTTCCGGCGCCCCGGCGGCCACCTCCAAGTCTGCTGGTTCTAGCGTTGACTTTGATTCCTTTGCTGGCTTGGCTGCTTTCGCCGGGCTTGCTGCCCTTTTGCTATGAGGTATGCAGAATTTAAAATGGGAAGAGTACTATGACATATCTCGATTAAAACTTTTAAACCCAGGATATTTCAGAAGAAAAAAACAATTACAAAATAATTCTCCGTTTTTCTTGTTGAACTCCTTCGCAGGGCTTTGTCCCCGCTTCCCATTCAGCCAGACTACCACCTTCGATTACTGATACTTTGCCGTAACTTTTTTCTTCTTAGTTTCACATACGAATGATAATGCAATGCAGTTGGAAGAAGACTTGACATGAAGTTTGAAAGACGGCCGCCTCAAGCCTTCAGAATCAGTGGATCATCTGATTCTCCCGAGTCCCTACCACGTTTCCGTTTGCGCGTCAAGCCAACGCCAAGCAGCAAACACTGCGCAGTGCCTTTCTTGGCCCTTCAAGAAGAACACTCACGACACTTGTTTACATTCAGGAACACAACCCCATTGGCAGTGTTGCGGCGAAGGAACCAATTGAGCCGCGAACAAGCCTCATCCTCGACTCTCTTTGGACTCTCCTAACCATTATCATGGTATACTTCTCCTTCTTGTCAGAGTCTTCTCCGGGATGCGTTGCTTCGTCCGGCTCATCGTCATGGTGGTTCGTTCATGTGGTCTGTATATTGCTTGTCGGTGACTCATCCAACAATAGGACCCTCACTTCTCCTCCAGATCTCGTCACCGCAATCAAGGAAGCGCATTCTGAGGGTGAAAATATACTGAGCGTCTCCGTCGCAAACGATGGCGATTGGTTCCTAAGCACCGATTCAGTGAACAGTAAGCATGTTTCCACTGCAACACCTCGTCTGCCATTCTTACGGATACTACACCTGTTAGGGATGAAGCCCGGGAATGATCCCATGACAAGTCGCGTCCTTCGATTTTGTCACGTCGCCACCATGAAGACCGGGCGCGAAACAGATCTTGGAAACATTGCATGGATCACATTTACTCCCGACGGCCAAGGATTCATTGGAGTGGTACGTCACGACGGCGTCGCGCACTGTGTTTTCGAAAATTTACCAGAAACGCTCGACGACCACCTTAAAACCCATAAGAAGGAGTTACAAGTGAAGATGGTCTCTATTGGCTACGAAAACAGCTGGTCTACCGTGTATGAGGATGGGGGCTGGAACGTCAAGGCAGTATCCACGTCTCTCATAGAAAAGTTGAAGAATGTTCGTTCTGTTGGTGTCGAGGTTCGTTCTTCCCTTGCATGCCATTTCGAGTTTACAACCACCCTGCAGTCCATTATACTATCACCATCCACGATATCCAATTTCATGATCACCTATGAGAATGGAACATCCGACTATGATGTTCCGTACGCACAATGGAAGTCGGCGATCGATAACCAGATTTCATTATGCCAACAAAACTACGCTCTTGAACTCCGACAACTCAAGGACGAGGAGGCCCTCCAACGTCAACAGATCCGACGGGTAAACGTTGCGAATAAAGCTATGATGAGGTTGTAGGTGACTGACATGGTATCCGCTGCTATGGTCGCGAATGCTCAGGCGTCGGCGGCTTATTACCAGAGCTTTGGGAATTTCTAGAGGGAAATTGACGAGGTTGGGGATCCATTTGTGTTGTTCCATTGGTAGTTAGTGTTATACTTTTTGCACTTTTATTGTACTTGAAGAACGACGGTCCACAACGGCGGACAAACCTAAATGAATACACTCAGGCTGTGATTATTGTCCTAATGCTCGACGCTACCGCAATCCAAGTTGTGAGAGCAGCAGCCCCGTTTTTTTTTGTCGTTCTATACCGAAAAAAGGTGATGAGGCTACATCGAAGAAGTTATTACAGAAGGTGAATCGCAGGCGAAAAGTAAGCTATTTCGTTTTCTGGACCGGGCCATCGTCCCACTGGCATGACCTTTAGTCCGACTCGTGCTTCGTTGAGCTGTTGAATACGCACCAGAGTAATGCGGCTCCAATTATTTGCAGCTACATTTTTTCCCACCTAACACTCTATTTGATTTTCTGGACCCGGCCGACGGGGTGTTCTGCAGAGTAATAAGAATGGAAGGTCAGATATCACGTAGATGCAATACAGAAACTCTGATCATACCTTAAAACCAGGCATCCTCCGCAAGTCATCCAAGTTGATTGCCGATATAAATCCAACTGATAATGTTTTCATCGTCGGGCGGTCAGCAGCAAATTGAGTGGCAAACTCAGTGACTACATCACGCTTCTCCTCGGCTGACAATCCCAACCTGGGATCTAATAGACGGAGGCTCAAAGTCACATGCTCCAGATGGGGAAAGAGGTAAAGCCACCTCTTTATTGTGAGCGGCGAGAACTTGCCGGGATGAATAGTAATACGTTGGTCCAAAATGACACTCCTGATATGAGCGAGGGAGGTAATGACTCGAGTATGTTTGTCTTCACGGATATACCTATTTAAGATCGCGCAGATATCTCCCCCTATACCATTTGATAACTGCAGAGATGAGATATGGGCGTGGGTGGCAACGGCTGCTAGGGGGTCCAACTCGGATTGATCATTCCAATTGAGTAAGACGTGGACGGAGGAAAGAAGGGGCACCCTGTTCCGATGTTGGAGCAGCAAGGTCACGATCGGCGAGATTGCAGTTAACTGTGATAAGTATGGGAGTATAATTGGTGGATCAGGGATTTGAGGATCCTTGACTGGGAGGATTCCTTCGAGGTGTAGACTGGTGGTTGACGGATGGCGATTGAGGAAGCTGCACAGCCCCACCCATACGATATTGAAGCGAGAGGAAATTTTGACCTCTTTTATCGCCGGTAAATTTATAGATTCGGAGATGCGTGATAGAAGGAGTGGGTCTATGGAAGTGACCTTGAGGTGAATGCAGACGAGGGACTCTCGGTTCACCTCTAGCGTATCAATGATCCATCCAATAAAAAACGGTTGGAAGAGCCTCGAAGAAAGAACTTGTATTGTCGACATCCCAGTCAGATGGGAATGTGCACGGAACCCTCCCGAGTTTCTCGTCCTCCTAGACATAGAGCCTGTGGGTTTTGCAGGTGGAGGTATCGTGACATTCAGGTTATTAGGCGTGAATTTGTTAGACAAATAACCTATTGGGTCAAGCAACCTCAAATCTCTGCACCCACTCTCCGCGATTGTTTCTAAAAGCTTCAAAAACTCCCTTCCCCACTTCGCCATGGTTCGGACTCCCTGTGACCCGTCTATGTACCGGATACGTTTCGGAAGGCCTATCGTGATTTGACCAACCGGTGGAATGCGCGCCAGTAAACCACGTAGACTGGAAATGTCTAAGATCACTTGCTCAATCTCCGAAGTCAAGTAAAATGTAAATGATGAGAGATTGCGAACGAAAAGGGCTGTCCTTATGGCCTCTAGCAGCTCTGGTACAGGATGACGACAATGAAAGAGGCCGTTTTGCGGATTTACCAACTTGTTGCGAGAGAAGAACATAGGAAGGACCAGGAAGTGAAGCTTCTTGCAGGTGAGGCTCAGCCGACAAATGGATCCGTTATCATCCAGGTCTTCGACGATTTTCTCGACAAGTTCGTCCGGCAGATCAGTCATAGTAGCGTATGCCGAAGTTTTTCCGAAAGGCCCATCGATTTCCACCTTGCGCCGCAGCCGTCTCTTCATTGCCGTTGTAGTGGTACACTTCCAGTATGTTTGAAAGTGTCGGAATCACTATGAGTCCGTCATGTGACCCATAATTAATAATTGGCATATAAAGGTTGTATAAAGGTTTAAATTTCAAACTTGGTTCAAACTTGGTTCAAACAGCCGCAGACCCACAAGACGTTTGGTAAGTATCGCATTCTCTGCTCATACATATTTCGGCTAGCAAAAAACTCTAGCTATCTCCTATCTACTCCAACAAGGCCTCCAAGCGCGAGTCTATGTAGCCGGACTCAACAATCACACCACTACTTGATTGGGAGAGGTGGATCGATGCAGGAATGGATGGACAGATGACGAGGGCTTCAGAGGGCTGGAAATGTCAGGACACCTTGCTCGTTTCATCCGTTTCCCTGACGACTGTCGTTAGAATCCCCATTGAAAATATGTAAGGTCTAGGGCTCACTCCTTCCGGCGTGTTCAAAACTATCAACGCCCAGTCACCGTCGGTATGTTTTACAAGGTGATGCACAGCCCGGCTTCACTGATTTGTGTCCCAGGTCACTCTTGGTTGTTGTCGGTCCACTACGGACGGGGCCGCCAGCATAGCTTCGTCCAGTTCAAATATCTCCCACTGGCACGAGCTGTTCGTTTCGATTGTTCCGGTGCGTAGGGGTCCTAATTTTGCCCATAAGCAACTCACACTTCCCATTCCGTCTGTGGTATTGAAAGAAAACGAACCACGGGCATCCTCCGGATTCTTTGACCAACTCGCGAATGGTAGCAGAGTCGAACAACGGAGATGCTCTATGTGAAGGTGGATGCGACCTTTTTGCTTTCCTAAGGATTGACTGAGAATCGGCCTGGGGCTTTCAGATGCACCTACTCACATCTGGATTGGCTCTAGGGGGCTCTAGCACTAAGCCGTGAAACTTCTACCTCAAGAATTCTATAAGGCAGCTCTCGCTACAACTCCGAGTCTCTTTCAAGCTTGGAGGAGGTCCGAGTTTTCTTTCACTAACCACCCTCCTCCACGTTCCTTTATTCAAATCCTCCGCAACAATGCGACTTCGTCAATAGCGCAACCTTCTCTGAGTCGTCCGGTTTCACCCGTCTTCGCTTTGAATTGAGCGTGTGACGCTGCCCGCGGCGGTCTTCACCAAATCCGCTACCACCTCAACAGCAGCGCTTGTCCCCGCCGCTAGCGTTCGTACCACAACTCTGGCGTCCACCGGCACCACTCCCACTCCGCTGTCCCAATGGTCACCTCTAAAACTGCCGGCTTGATTGTTGGCGCGGTCGTTCCCCTTCCATGACTGGTTTGGCGGCTTTCAGTCTCAGTCTTGCCGCACTGCCGCTCCAAGGTCATAACACACGCTGTGCAGATCTTGTTCATTTACTATCAACAACATTGGTTTGAAGAGGACTTGACGAGCGCCAACTGTCTCAAAGCTTCTCACCTGTCTATCCACGACATGGATGATGGAAAGGCGATTGAGCATAACATCACGACTCTTGAAGGTTCTATCTCAAAGACTCTTGACGATGTCACTCAGGTACCATGTATTACCTCAATCCGAGCTCTGAGAACAGTCGTTCCATTTTTTTTTGTGTTTCGGAACGTCTAATCGAATACAGAGCAGACGTGATGAAGGTAGATTGAAGGAGCTAAACTTTGAAAGGTCAATCGCAATAAAGTACATAGTCAAAGCATTGAATGAAAAAGTAATTCATGCGCGGCTACTTTCCTATTTAAATAACATCATAATTTCTTTGTCTGGAGCCAGGCCGACGAAAGCGTTAGTCTAAGTCCTCTCACTGTTGGATATGCACGAGAGCCCTGTGGCTCCTCCGACTATTTGCAGCTACATTTTGCTTGCCCATTCAACACCCTATTTGATTTTCTGGACCCGGTCGATGGGCCGTTCTGCAAAGAAATAAGAATAATAAAGGTCAGATATCACAAAGATGCTAACAAAAAAATAATAATCATGCCTTGAAGCCTGGCACCCTCCGCAACTCGTCCAAGTTGACTGTCAAAAAGAAATCAGCCGATAATGTTCTCATCATCGGGCGATCAGCAGCAAATTGAGTGGCAAACTCGGTGACTACACCAAGGCTCTCCTCGGCTGACAATCCTAACCTGACATCCAACAGACGCAAGCTCACAGTCACATGCTCCAGATGGGGGAAGAGGTAAAGCCACCTCTTTATTGTGAGTGGCGAGGGGTTGCTAGAATTAATGGATTGGTCCAAAACGACACTCCTGATATGACTGAGGGAGGTAATGATTCGAGTATATCTGTCTTCACGGATATGCCTCTCTAGGATCGAGCAGATATCCCCCTGTAGACCATTTGATATCTTCAAAGATGAGATATGGGCGTGGGTGGCAATGGCTGCTAGGGGGTCCAACCCAGATTGAACGTTCCAATTGAGTAAGACATCGACGGAGGAAAGAAGCGGCACCCTGTTCCGATGTTGTAGCAGCGAGGTCACAACCGGCGACATTGCAGTGACCTGTGTCAAGTGTGGGAGTATAATTGGGGGATCAGGGATTTGAGGATCCTTGACTGGGAGGATTCCGTCGAGGCGTAGACTGGTGATTGATGGATGGCGATTGAGAAAGCTCCATAGACCCATCCATTCGAAATTGGAATAGGCAGAGATCTTGACCTCTTTTATCGCTGGTAAATTCATAGATTCGGAGATGCGTGATAGGAGGACCGGGTCAATGGAAGTGACATTGAGGTGAATGCAGACGAGGGACTCTCGGTTCACCTTCAGTGTATCAACAATCCAACCGATAAAAAATGGTTGGAAGAGCCTCGGAGAAAGAATTTGTATCGTCGACAGGCTAGTTGAATGGGAGTGTCCACGGGACCCTCCCAAATTTCTCGACCTCCTAGACTTAGTGCCTGTGGGTTTCGATGGGGGAGGTGCCGCGACATACAAAAAGTTGTTAGGCAAGATACCTAACGGGTCAAGCAACTCCAGATCTCTGCACCCACTCTTCGTGATTGTTTCTAAAAGCTTCAGAGACTCCCTTCCCCACCTCTCCATGTTTCGGACATGCTGTGGCACGTACAGGGACGAAACATATTGCGGAAGGCCTAGCATGATTTTACCAACCGGTGGAATGCGCGCCAGTAAACCACATAGACTGGAAATGTCTGAGATCACTTGCTCCATCTCTGAAGTGAAGTAAAATGTGATCAATGAAAGATTGCGAACGAAAAGGGCCGTCCTTATGGCCTCTAGCAACCCTGGTACAGGCTTATAACACTGGAGGTACCCGTTTTGCAAAAGTTCCAACTTGTTGCGGGAGAAGAACGTAGGAAGGACCAGGAAGTGAAGCCTCTTGCATGTAAGGCTCAGACGACAAATGGATCCGTTATCATCCAGGTCTTCGACGATTTTCTCAACAAGTTCGTCCGGCAGATCGGTGATGGTGGCGTATGCAGAGGAAGCTTGTGCACGAGGCCCGTCGATTTTCACCTTGCGCCGCAGCCGTCTCTTCATGGTTGTTGGGTATGTTTCACACTTGGGAGTCTTATGCAAGGATGGTTCAGTCATGTGACCTAATTGGCCCTTGAACTTTAATGAGGGCCCACTTCGTTCCTTTCCACCCACCTTTCCTCGACTCGACGATTTCCACACTCCAAACCAACTCACATACTCTTACCGCGATTTCTTTTGAGACCGTTAAAACCCCCGCAAGCACATGGTCTGATATTCTTTCGAGCATCACTCTTCTATTCCTGTCCAAGTTCTAGTTGACGACAGGCTGCGTGGTCATAGATTGGCAAATGGCCAAATTCAACGATGTTCTGGGTTTCTTGACTAGACATCCTTCAATTATCGACTTGGAGGCCGCTTATACGCTGTCACCCGCCCGAGAAATCGTCGTCAGCCTTGCAAAATCTGAGAGCAGATCCCTGGCTCATTTCTTGCCAGTTTCTGGATCGTGAACAGCATTTTAAATTCCTCACATCACTGGAAATGGTGTCGGAAGTCTACCCTCCGAGTCTATACCTTCCATTCGACTACAACACCTTCAACCACGCCCTATATCTCCTTCCTTGCAGCGCTCCACATGTCACAGCCTTACATATCTCATTCTACCCGGAGGCCGGCATCGCAGACTGGCTTTACAAGCACATATTACAGGAGAACAGTCCGCTCGCCGCTCTAGCAGTGGTAACTACCCTCAACCTCTTCCTGTCTTGGAATATGTGGCGGAGTGATGTGAGAGTTCTGATCTCAATTCCTCGCTCGCTTTCCACAACTCCAACATCTTACGTACGCTTCACCCCTACCCGACGTGGAAAGAGAAAAGCAAACGTCATTTATTCAGGAGATTATGTTGGCGTGCCCTGAGATGAAAACTGTGACGATTGAATTAGGTTCCCCAGTCAATCTTGATACGTTGAAGGACTAAGGACTAGTATCGATACCCGAAGATTGTAGGGTATTACTGAGATGCATTAGTTTCAAGTTTCAAGTGACGACGAAGAGGCCACCATCAAGCCAAGTTCGCACGCGTCCTCACAACACCATTGCCATGTATTCGGTACTGTCCTTGAGCGGCGCGCCCAGACGACGACATGCAGCCTCAATTTGACTTAGGACTGTAGGTCTATCTTTAACCGATCCGGACGGGCGTGGAGCTCCAAGGACCAAAGGTAAAAAGCGTGCGCTGGTATTCCTACTTGCCCCGGTCACCAAGAAGAACAAAAAGAGGCTACTATAAACCATTGATCGACCGCGACTTTTCTGACGTGTGTTCATACTCCAAGAGGATTCGGACGTCACTTCTATTTTATTTTATTTTCAGAAATGTTCGAATGCCTCCTATCGCCAGACAAGTTGTATAAGTCATTACTCAGACAAGTCTCGTTCCCGTGATGCCACATCAATCTCAACTTGAAAACTTCCCCCACTATATCACTTGCCGCGCGAAATAGCCTGCTCCCCGATATGGACTGTCCGGAAGAGATTCTCATCAAGATATTTGAATTCGTCTATTATGAACCGTATAACTGGGTAGATCAGCGAAGTCTCGCTGCTCTTGCGCGGACATGTCGGAGGTTCCAGAACCCAGCCCTCGACATTCTCTGGAGTAACTTGTCTACGCTGAAACCTTTGTTTTATTGTCTACCTGAAGGTTCATGGACAATAACAATTGGTGGAGAGATTCAGTTGGTGTGTAGTTTCCAGTTGAATACAAACATAAATTGCCTGATAACCCGTCCACTCAGACCCGTCATTCTTGGACACCTGAAGATTGGAAAGCTTGTCTGAAGTACACCCCTCGCATCAAGCGCCTCGGGATAGTAGGTGGATCTGAGTATTGGGATCTAGAGTTACCTCTTTATTCAAACCACAGGGAGTTTAGCGTTTTGCAGAGTAATCAAATCTCCCTCCCCAACCTACAGGACCTTCGATGGATGCTATCCGGCGGTCATTTTGGTGATATCTATTCCATTGGCCCCCTCCAGGCGCTCGCAGTGCAGTGCTTTGACTTCGAAGCAGTTCGGGATGTCGCAGAACCACTATGCTCCCAGTCTCCTCTCCTGGAAAAACTTTTCATCCGGATGCCAATGAAGTATCTCTCGCCAAATCCAGAACTATCGTGCCTTCTCCAAAACATGATTTGCGGACATCAGTGTCTCCGACAGCTTTTCTGCACAGAAACTCTCCTGCCGCAAGAGGTCTTACGCTTTTTGTCAGCCTCTAAAATTGAAGTCTTATCGATAAGAAATACGGCTGAGGAATTGCTTCAAAATCTCCCTAGCACTGAGCAGGGTTTCTCTTCCCTCCGCCGTCTGACGGTTTGTGCATCGCACCTCAAATATTGCTCGGAGTTGCTACAGCGAATTAATACACGGAGTCTTCAATCGTTCGAAGTCGTACATCTGCATCTCCCCGACTCTTTGTCGATCAAGGAATTGTTTCAGACTCTTGAGCGGCGATGCTCACATGCGCTCTTCAACTCCGTACACCTCCACCAACCCCGTCACTCCGAAGAAAACTATTACGCGCCCGAATATGGTCTCGCGCTGTCAAATTTTAGGCCCCTGTTCGCGTTCAAGAACCTGGAGGTATTGGAAATTGAGTTGTTTTGTCCTTTCCGACTGGATACGTCAGATATCAAACTCATGGCCCCAAAGTGGCCCTGCATGCGTCAATTTAAATTGGGATACTATTACAAAGGATTCGGCCATCCCTCAAAAATTTCAGTGAACTGTTTGCTTTCCTTCGCCAGACACTGGCCAGATTTGGAGGAGCTTAGCATCTCGTTAGGTGATCTATGGAAAACATCTCACGTTCAAGGGAGACCTGGTCGCGGTTACAGTTGCCCCAAAGTTATAGACCTGGCCCTCGGGGATTCACGCGTGGACTCACAATCTTGTTATAGGCCTTTGGCTGAATTTTTGGATGATTTCTTCCCGAGCATTGACGGTGTAATTAAGCGCCGCGAAATGGGCTCCCTCGAAAGACATATTGGACCGTGGGTCTATATTACAGATATCATGGCGGAACTTGCGACGGAGAGGGAGGAAGCGGAGCTGGACTCAGATTCGCAGCCTTAGGTACTGTATAAATGCGTTGATATTTCGGTTGCTCTGATTCTCATGGGACGGACTCAGACTACCCTACACTAAAACGCTTCTCGGGCAGCGCCTAGGGAACTCTGAGGTGGAAATACATTTCTGTGAATCCACTTTCGAATATCGTTCCTATAATCACGCACAACCGGCAAGCAGGGGGACGCAGGAAAGGGTGCTGCAGGATGATACATGCTCGTATGCACTCTCTCCCAAACTCCATCCCTCGGTTGTAAACGTAGAGTTGAGAGTTAGAGAATTGGGTAAATAGAAAAGTGGCACCAAGTGGAGCATGCAGGGAGTGAATGCGATACCCTTCACTCTTGGAGCCGCGAACTCGGCAGAACGTTGACTCTTTCCAAATCAACCATCCAATCCGACAGGGCACGCGCCCCTAGCGTGTTGAGAGCCGCCCGAAATTGCTAGTGTTTAATGTCATAGGGCACGATAACTTTTCTGTTCATTCATATCTTCCCATAAACCTGCAGAACCAGTGTTGAGACGTATGCGGGCGTTCTGCAGTGTTGGGATCAAGAAGCCCAGAAATTCGGAGTAAAACCTGAGAGAATAAAGCGCGTAAGCGAGGGATTGGAATTAACTATTGGTTCAAGTAAAGGCCGGACCCCCTGGGTAAGGAGCAGTAACACCGTCCGTTCAGGTCCAGAGGCAGGTTGAAGCAGAGGATTCCAGTTCTTCCGGAATCGTGATCTATGTCGCCTACTGCTTTTGCGAGGGCTCCGTTCAATGGGGATATATGCGCATCGAGCCTACGGTTTAGGCGCAACGCCGTCGCGGGCCTTCGTGACGCAGGCCGAGGTGAAGCAGCTGGCTGAGCTTGACATAACTTCCCATCTTCCAACACGCAAGCCAGTGTAGCTAAAAGGCAAAAGGCAACAATGGGTGTTTCATTGGATCCCCGATTCTTCTTATATCTGCAACGCTCGCACATACATTCTCAGAATCATCTGGAAGGTGGCATGTCAAAGTCACAATCACATGGTTCCTGAGACGACCGTCCTGCCCTTTGAGATACCTTTGGTTCCCTATCAATTGGTCATATATCAAACACCTCAAGGTTCTTCAACTTGCAAAGAACATAGATCGGAGAAACTCAACACGTTGGCGCCGAAGGGATGAATTTTAATTGCGTGGCATAGCATAATGGAGGTTGCGTAGAGGTATGCATGGCAAGCATGGATGGATAAGACAAAGGTAAAGAAAAAGACAGCAGCGAACAAATCCCGACGATGAAATTACTCGGCATCCACGACCGTCGTTTGCAGGCCCTGTGCGATACGAGAAGACGTCAGGCACGCCATAGTGTATGAAAGAGGAGAAAACATACCTTGAACGACGTTACAGGGACGTGGCTGACATATGTGTAAAGCTTCTCCTTTGCGTTCTCCTCGTCATTACGTTTCCCTAGAAAAACAAGGCCCATCATGCATCAGCCCCGATCTCCACAACCACAAAAAAAAAATTAACGCACTCTCAAGCTTAACCCGCAGCCTATGAGGGACAGTCTTGATTCCCCGCGCCCACACGGCCTGGTTGAGTTTAGGATCGATGCGGACATCAGAGGTGCCCATGGTCTTCTGGGCAAAGTCGATGACAGATTTCACTGCCCATGGAGCACGCTTCTTGAATGAGCGGCCGTGCACGCGCTTGTGCAGATGGATGGTGTATTCCCGGGTCACGACATCCTGGAGGGCTGAGCGGGTTTTACCACCGGTCTGAAAAAGTGTCGTCGTAAGTTCTCGAATGTGTGATTGATAGTATGGGGCGTGAATACCTTTTTCTTGTTGGGAGCTGGGGCCTTTGGTCGATGTTAGTGATGAGCTGGAGGATGTAGAGGACGATGGGAACGTACCATGTCTTGAGGATGACGATGTCGATGAGCAAGATAATTCGAACACCGACTCTTGTTTGGTGAGGATCTGTTGTGTAAACAAAATAAGGTTCGGAGTGGCTTGCAAGTCCATCGGGAAATGCCGGGATTCGAAATGACTCAGCATTCAATGTAGACAAGCGAAGAAAGGGTCAAAAAAAATTCCATCAAGGTGCTTCCAAGTCCGCTTTCAGACGGTTCTTTGTGCAGTTGTACCCTCTATGCAACTCCCATTCTCTAGGATTCTCGATTGCCCTACGCTAAATTGTCATAGCTGATCGTCCTGAGGGCATTGTGCCCAATTCTAGGGGCACATGTGCGTGCAATCCCTCCACACGCACGGACATCACATGCATGATGCCACCCCAAATCCATGGGACGTGCGGGGCCTTGCGGGAACCCCTTTTGGGTAAAGTTTAGGAACAAGCCCTGGAAACCCAAGCTCCCCCAGAATTCTATAAAATCAGCTCTCCCAGCTCCCACCCATCGTTTGACTTTGAGCTTCCTTCTTCTCACACCAAAACGCACTTTTCTTCGTTAAACTTCCCTACGAACCTTTCATAATGCGTTTCGCTCTCGTCACTGTTGCCCTTGCTGCTGCCTCTGCCTCTGCTTCCAGCCTCTACAGTCGCCAGAACATTCCTGGTACGTCGCTACGCAGTCGCACGTTTCATGAACCGTGGTATTGATATTCTTCACCACGCAGCTTGCGCCGGTACATGTATCGCGTCCGCTGACCTTGGCGGCTGCTCTGCTACCGACAACGCCTGTCTCTGCAAGAGCACGGCCTTCGTCGACAGCACCGCTGCTTGCATCGAGACGGCCTGCACAGGCTCTGACCTCCAGGCCGCTATCGCCGCTGCCGAGGCACTCTGCGCTGCCGTCGTACGTCCTTCCCCATTCTTTCTCATCACCCCCAATTTTCTTATTCGCTTTCTTTAGGGCGTGACGTTGAGTGGTCTCCCAACTGGATCCGCCACCACCGCAGCTGCAACCGGCGCATCCTCTGGCTCCGCTGCCGCCACCACCGCCACTACCCCCGCTTCCAGCAAATCCGCCGCAGCTTCCAGCCATTCCGCCGCAGCTTCGGGCTCATCCACCAGCTCCTCCGCCCCAGCTGCTACCTCCTCCAAGTCTGCTGGCTCCATTTCTGGCGTCAACGCCTTCGCTGGCATGGCTGCCTTTGGCCTCGCAGCCCTCGCTCTCTGAGGAAACTGGGATGGTTTATTTTGCTGCCCACCACCATACATACATACGTCATGATGCTCCACTTCGACATTCGTTTTTGCTTACTTGCACCCCACCCCTTTCTTGCCGTCGTGATACCCATGAACTCTATATGATGGTTAGCCAAGTACTGTATAGTGTTCCAGCTAAATGATTATTGGTATGAATCTTTGAAACATTCAACATCCCTTCCCTGCTCTGCTTGGCGTCGCTATCGGAGGTTTCAGCCCGAGAAGTCTTGTCAGCATGCTGAGGGTATGAATGTTCTCTCGATCAGCGCACTCCTTTATTCCTGATCTCCTAAAAAGTTCCTTTTGTTCCTTCGTTGTCATGGCGATGGAAGCGACAGTTATTGAAGGCGCCCATGTCTTCGATGATCTTAAGCCTTAAGGCGCTGAATCTTGAATCTTGGAAGTCGAACGTATGCCCACTGACAGCCCACAACGTCCTCCTGATCGCTTCCTTGTGCTTACAGTAACAAGATATGAATCATACATATGATTGTGTAGACCCCGATAAAGCTGCAAACCATCATTCTAGCGCAGTCGTGATCACAAGCTGCCTGTCACTGTGGAGCCGCTCGCGATGGAGCAGAATGTATGAGGCCGCGAACACAGGCGAACACACCCCACCTTTCATTTTATCACCTGCTAACTCGCTACAGACTGCGCAGGGGGGACCAATTGGAAAATCCCTTTCCATACTTCGGTACTCGTCCACGCGGACATTCCTCGGCGGATCACATAGATCATTATTGCCTCGGCTCTGCGATTCAATTTCAGGTGATCACGTTCTCTCCGCCTCCGCCTTCGGTAATCACAGAGGAGGTCCTTGGTTGTTAGGCAACTTTCAGGCTTCAGCTATGGATTTGACCCCTCTCCCCTCTTCCCTCTCAACCTCTCGTGAGTCGTCATACACAATCGATACGGGGCCCCAAATTCTTATCAATCACATGTCATTCGACCACCGTTCATGCATATCAGCGTGCATCCCGCTACGAAATATCCATGACATTGATTGTCGGATGGTAAGGATACTAAAAATAGAAATCGTTGCATGGTTGGATTATGGATAAATGTGAAATAATAAGACAGGACAACATTTTTCACAGTCGTCAGATGGACCCTATGGACTAGAAGTGCGTTGGATAAAAGCAGATGGTGCCTGCTGACCCCGGGCTCGGTATAGATCATGGGCTCGGGCGACCGTAAAATGCGACGCACGATCCCCTACGTCAGTGCGTCTATGATATGCGCTCCATTGCTGATGTTCACCGGCTTCAATAGTTTTGCTGCGCTCCCACAAACGTCTGGGGACGGTTTAGATACGCTTGGAGGATGTGGAGGCCAGCAGCGATTCGTATTCTCAAATCAATCGGGCGACGAAGTGTGGACTCTGAAGACGGTGCTGCGGAGCACTTGAACCTCTTGCTTGACTCCGCTCTGGATTTCGGATGTACGATACCACGAGCGGCATATAGTCGACCGTAAAGATAGGCCGCCCTCACCATGGACCTGATTTATCCTTCGTGCATCAGCGTGTGTCATATTGTACCGGTACGGCTAAGATCAAGAAACAGCAGCTGATTGTGGAATGGTCGAGGAAAAAATGGGAGTTCGATTTCGACGAGATCTCCGCATTGAAGAAGCCAACGACGAATAAGCAACATGATGGACGTGTATGACAACGCAAGTTTACGGTCCCAAAAAAACCCGAGTCACTGAGCGACGAAATAGGTGCGCATCAGAGGGAAGCCGGAGAGCCCAAATTTTAGCTCTGGTGTCCATCTGGAGCTGATTAAAAAATGGAACGCATCATACCCCGCACCCGCGTTATCCCTCGACTATGTCGACTAATACAATCGCGATGCGCATGGGTTGCAAATAATATCTACAGCGATGGGCAGCCTCCAACGTGGAGGAATTACTCAGAGCGGCTAGAAGAAATATGCAATGAGCACGCAAGCCAATACCGCTTGAACACCAATTCCAACTTCTCTGGATGACTTCCGTAATAAGTAATGGCAAGCTCGGAGAGACTCAGAGTACTTATAGGCGGCTGGCTCCGATGAGGAATCAATAGCTGGAGCTCGCTAGTATGCGCCAAGGAGCAATCTTTTTTTCATCTTTGAATAAATTGTCTTGTCACTATCAAAACGGAAATCGACCTACGGATGGCATACTCATTGTGTGCCCTTTGAAATAGCTTTTCGAGCGGTAAGGGTCCTTTCCAGACCTGTATTTTATCAATACCAATGATGCTGAGAAAGTCGGCGTCAGGAAAAAAAACATAAGGAGCTGCTTTCAAGTTGTGATAAAAAGAAAAACTTAGCCATCTCATGGAATTCGATGGATGCACTTATCTACCGAGGTCGGAAAAGGATTTTTGTGGTCTGCGACGTTCTGAAGATCGGCCCCTCAGGCTGTGAGGTTTACAAAAACATGATTTACTGACACCAAAGTGACACTGGTAAATTTCAGGACTCATCCGAAGAAAGGGTTTGAAATTCATACAAAACCACTACATAGCCATACCTATGTATGTAGCCTCTCTTGTAAGACATAACAGCGAAGAGCTAAAGGCGCTTCGAACGTCAACTAAGTTACAGAATAAATTCAAACCGAGAGTTGTGCTTCGACAAATTTCCAGGACTGTTCCCCGGTTTCTGTCTTTTCCCCACTGATGGTGACCTAGCGTGGGACGATGAGTACTGTTGTGGTTTTGGCGATTCATCATGATGTCAGGGCTCACCTCAGTATTGACGTCGGTAGCACCCAATCCCCAATATACAGTCTCACCACCGTCCTGAATACTAGAAGTGTGCATATTAACGGGCGAAAGAAAAAAAATGGAAGAAAGCAATGGTCCTAAACGTACGTGTACGTTGTCGGGTCATCCTCGTTTTGGGTAATGGTCCACACATAGTTATGAGCGGGAAGAACGGTGACAACGTCTTGACCCCATGCACATTGAAGACCGTCACCGTCGACGGGGGAAATGCTTTGGGCTTTCCCGTCGTAGTCTTCCACAATCCACTGCTGAAGGATGGGTGAGACAAAGGTATACTGGGTGATTGATCGAGGCGGAATATACCTGCTTGGAAGCGGTCGAGTCGTCGAACGAGACAGTTACCGTCTGGCCTTCGCCGTTGAAAGTAATTGCGCGTGATAGGCCGTCGCTGGATGGAACTTTGTTGACGATGGAATAGGTACCAGCAGGAACCTTGGCGTGCACGCTTGCAGCGAACAGAGCCAGGGCAACGGCGTTGACGAAGGTCTTGAATTGCATGATTCTATTTGCGAGTGGAGTTGGAGAATTACGGTTAAAGAGGGACAGCGAACGAACCTCAAAAGTAGCTTCAAAGAGTAAAATTCAGAATTGATGGGAGATCCACTTTGTTTTCAAGGATGAGCTTGGAAGGGACGGACGATGTTGCAGACGATGCACTCGCGAATTGTGGAACAGTTGCTCTGCTGAATTTGAAGGTGTGCGTGTCCGTCTTTATACTCGAGGTTTATGAACAGCATCATTGGACACGTTGGTGCCGAGATGTAACATGTCGAGGCGAGACAGTCGAATTGTATTCCTCCCGAATATTGAAAGCGAAATAAGTACCCAGAGGGATAAATTGCTACTTACCAACCGATTAACAATGCAGCAAGCAGCTAGTTAGTCTCAATGTTCAAAATGGGCCAGGGCCTGTTCGGATCCCAGGCTTAGGGTTAGCTTAGAGTCGACTTCACCGCCAAAATCGAACCTTGTTGAAGCCAAAGCGCTTCAAAATTGCTGGCTAGGGGCCTACGAGGGGACTGAGAACCCGAACAAGCCCTCAGTCAAATTTCATGTGTCAAGAGAGGGAATACCTAGAAGCGGCGCTTTTCGGTTCAACCATTGCTAGAGCCTCCAATATCAGAAGCGACGACCGACAGGGAATTGAAAAAAGACACAGATTGGTTTGAAGTGGCCCTAGTTGAACATTGGACGTCAAAAATTGTGATCTTGTAGAATTGGCTGATAGTTGCCAGGGAATATGAAGAAGCGAGAGTTCTGGAGTTTGCTCATAAATCAGTAAATCAATCATCCTCAAACATTCTAGTAGTTTAATCGGGCCTCTACTATGGCTTTTGAACCCCGTTTCAACGAAGACTCTGTTGAACATCATGGAACTTGTTCGTGACCGCGAGATTATCGAAATCCCGGACCTGGACAGCTCCAGTCCACCCGTAGTTAAGTTTACCAGACTGGAAACACGGACTTCTTCAGAACAGGTTCTTTGCAAATTATGGCGGCTGTGAAACGGAAAAGTATTGTGAATAGTATACTTGACATGACAATGTGTATAGAGGATAAACGAAACCTCAAGTGGGTTTCGGCTTTGCAGCGTTGGGGGTGGTAACTACCGAATCATATTGAGCGTCAGAGATTAAGAATCCATCTGGAAGGGTACTCGGAACGGGCTGGGTTTGGTCAGGATCCGTTAGCTGAAGATAATACCCTAAAATCTAAACAAAACATAAAAGGCATGTTCAAAACAAGATGGGCAGGAACGCACCTGCGGGCCAGGAATACGGATGACTATGCCATCAGACGCCGTTGTGAAGCTGTACGTCTTTGATGATGCTGTTGTGGTCTCAGAAGAGCTGGTAGACCAGCAGAGTACCCCTGTGGATTGCGCCAGGGTAGCTTCTAGATTCGAGGCAGAAGCTGCAACGTCCGTGCTGGACATGGCGATTTTGATCGTGATATCCTAAACGACATGAGGTTGGATTAATGACTGAGACTGTTCGATGAAGACTGCGCATACCTTACAAATGATGAAACCCACAGGATATGCCGGCAGGAGGTACCTGTTGAGGGCTTCAAGACCACTCTCCCCACGTGACTTGAGGTCATCCATAGTCGCAACACCGTTTGGCCACTTGGACCAAGATACGTTGGGATCGATGTGGTAAAACCCGTTTGATTGCTTGAAAAACTGTGGCTGGAACCATCCTCCCCGATCCACCGTCACCAACGTTGCACGGAAGCCGATCTGAGCATCAAAGTTTGACTCGCTCGATGTATTACTTGAGCTCGCTGCGGCAGCGTCTGCTTGAGCTGCAGAGGCAAAGAGGAACAATCCGCAGTCGGTCCTGGATGTGCTACCTGTGCTGGAGCTGCTATCAGTCGTGAACTTGGATGCTATGGTGTGGTGCATGACAATGTCCTGCCACCTGCTCCCCCCGGATGGCGTGATATTAGCTGGCACATTCGTAAAATCGTTGATGGAGGCGGCGGGCTTGGCTGCCGCTGCCTGGGGTGTTCGAAGGGCTTGACGACGAGCGGTAAGCTCAGCAAGATCCTTGGTGATGGCTGTGATGTCAAGGTTAAGCTGTGTTTTCGCGTTCTCTGTGTCTGTTGCATTGGCGAGGGCCTTAGCTGAGAGCAGTCGAGAATATGCACGCGAGGCCTTCGTCACAGCACTTTGAGCGTCCGTAACCTTTTTCATTGCAGCACCAATCCCTTCAAAGTCCGCCTGCGAGAGCTGGTAAAGTGCTGCTGCAGCATCGAATTCGGGCTCTAAGAAAACGCCAGCTGCGTTAATGCAGCTTTGAGCGAGAGCGATGATATTGCTATTGTAAGCGTTCGCCAGGTCAGATTGTGCACTGTCGTAGCCGGCCTGCGCTGCATCGAGTTGCTGTTGCAAAGCGTTCAAGTCGGCCTTGGGACTGAGCTCTAACGCCGCAAGGCGTGACTGCAGGACATCGAGTTGCTGTGACTTTGCATTAATCTGCTGCTCAATGAGGTCAGGATCGGCGGTCAGATCTTCCAACGTGAACGAGGTCGAAAGCCCTTGGAACCAATCAATGGGTTGCATCTGAACAGGATACACCTTCAAAGTTCCGTCGAGAGAGCTCACCGCCGCTTCACGGAGAGCATCTTTCGCGTCTTGCAGGAATTCCGAGGGACTCTTGATATCCATGTACCCCAGATACTGGCGGATGGTATGAGAGTACCCTCGCACGACTGCGTCTGCGTACTTGGCCGCAAGCTGAGCGTCTCGGATCGCAGTGATGTGGGAGAGATTCCGAGTAACATCGTTGAGGGTCTCTGGAGTAGCAGCCTGGATCATTGCATCACGCTCGAGCTCCCATACCTGTTTTGCAGTCAGGTACTCCTGCATCAAAGCCTCAGCCAATTCCATCCGATTGACCGTATCTCCCGTGAGCTTGTTGACAACAGCAAACTGTGGTTGAATTCCGGACGATGTTGATGGACTAGTGTTGATAGATGAGGCAGGGACAGTCGACGCAGACGTCCCTGAATGCTGGGAAGCGATGAGATCCTTCACCCAACCCTCAGTCGGAACCTCCTTAAGGAGCCACTGGCGAATCTGATCTTGCTGCTTTGAGACGATACCTGCAGAAGACGTAAATCCAGGAAGCACGTTGTTGAGGCATTGCTCGTAAACAATGGAGAGATTGATGCCGTTGGGGGCACCGACCACACTACCCAGGTTGTAGAGTTGGTCAACGAGGCGAAACTCGTTCTCATTCACAACTGTTGGTTTTACGAACTGGCCATAGGCGCCAACGGCAGACGTATCCCACGAGAATTGGTCCTGCTGAAGGAAACGTCCAGGAAATTGGAGTGCAAAAATTTGCCCTGAGGTGGGAGCAAAAAGTTGTTGAAGATTGTTTAGGAGCGTCGTTAGGAAAGATCCCTTGGTTGGTGGTAAGATAGCTTGGGCAGGAGCCGAGATTCCTGGATTGACACTTTGCGGTGGTACATCTTGTACTTGGATATACCGAGGGTGCTGCTCAGCATAAGCTGCAAGAGCGGCACTCAATTGAGTGCGAAGTTCTGCAATGCCTTCCGTGAAGCCTTCCTCCGTCTCGGCTTTAAACGCCAAGAGTCTTTGCGCATTCAACTTGCTTACAGCGTCACTGTCCGCAGACAAGCCCAAGGTATTCAAGTCTTGCTCGAACTTAAGATCTGCCTGATCACCGGGGACACCAGGGTAAATAGCCTAAAGAGGGCGGATGAGATCGAAAGTGTCATAAGGAGTAGTTGAAACCTTACACCGAGTAAAGCAAAGTCCCGTTTCGAAGGAGTCGGGTTGAGATCCGTCAAAAGGATGTTGAAAAGTGTGCTTCCCCGTAGCGACTTTTCTGGGTAAAGCATAATGGACTTATCATCGAATGGTGTATAGATAAAAAAATTGAGCTTGTCTCGCTCGTCCATGGTGAATGATTTCGGGGAGACGTGTTCATGGATCAACCCAAGTGCATGACCGATTTCGTGGAAGAGTGTGTAGGTCTCTTTGTCCTGGCCTTTCTGTGTCGAAGGGAGGAGCTCGGGAACATGGGTATCCCAGAACATCATCGTGGTTTCAAGCAATCCCCCATATAAACTTTGGGCTTTGAATGTTCGGCCGTCGCTCGACTCCGTGCCTACACAACTCCATGAGCTGGAGTCAGGCACAGGGCCAAAGGAGATACGAATAAGCGCAGGTGATTTACGGTTATACGCAACCTCCTCGATCTTGAGGTTGACATAGTTCTGATAAACGGCAAACGTGTCGCGGACGCGTTGTTTGCGGCGTTCGTTAGAAGGAGAAACAAAGTCCTTGTCGGTATCATCAAGGAAGGTAAAAGTGACTTTTTGTCCCGGAGTCCATAAGAGATGATTCAATCCTGTAACGCCGTGACTAGCGTCGGGTGGAGCAATGGAAGGGGTTAATTTGTCTGTATCGCAATAACCCGCCACTCTGTAATCATTGTCCGCTGGGGTGCTCGGCTTCGTGTTATTGCCGCTGGTTGCACCTTGTGGTGCGGTATTCGACGAAGCCGCGTGTGCAGAGGTGGTAAAAAGAGAAAAGTAGTATCGTACGTTCACCCAGTCTTGCTGAGCATATGCCTGTAAAATCTTAGTCTTGCTGTCCGCATCGACCCCAGCAACAGCCAAAGCATGATCGATTGTCCATTTAGAATCGAAAGGGCTAGCCGCAGGATATGGGTAGTTGATGAACGCGAACGCTTTGTCGAGCTCCGACAGCTTGTTATTCGGTGGGACTTCAATGTGCTCGAGATTCATTTGCGCGGGCATGAAATACCTGTGATGAAGGGGCTGAGTTTTCAAGACAATACAGTAAGAAGCTGGGAACATACATCATGATAGAAGTAAGGTCGAGGGCGCTGAAATTCGAGACATCATTGAGATTGTAGACATCCAATATTTGCTTTTGAACTTGGTCCGCTGTCCAACCTTGAGTAGACGTATAGAAGCTTATAACAGCTGCGGACTCAATAATCAGAGAGGTAGAATGCCGACGAGATGATGATTTACCATCACGATTGAGCGTCAAGGTACCTCCACGAGCAGGTGACTGGTGCTCATGCAAAAACCCCAATGCGTGTCCGAATTCATGAAGAATAACGCCAATATCGTCGCTGGTTGTGATTGAGCTGGGATCGATCCAACCAAGGTTCGTGGTGGGTTGGTTAGCTGGAACGTTCTTGAGTTCCTCTGCAACGTAGCACCAGGATCCCGACGATGGATTAAATGTGATCCTCAAATCTGCGGGCTTCGTTGAATCGTAAGCAACATTCTGAAACTTGACATTGGCGTATTTAGACCACTCTTGGACGGTATTCTTGACTTTCGCTTGCTGGTTGGCGTTACCGGAGTTCTTCGGCATAAAGCAGTAGCTCAAAACCTATCAATTGTAAAGAATCTATGAGATTGTAAGAAAATGGAGCTTAACAACAAGCGCACGGTTTGATTAGGCCACAAGATCGAGGACTTGCTGAGAACCGCAGCTGCGATGCCAATTCCAGGACTCGAGAAGCCGTCCTTGAGGCTCTGCGCCACTTGTCGGTTAATCGCAACATCGGCACAAAACCGTTGGTACCAGGAGGGGCTCATCTGATCAATTGGTTGGTCGGGGATGGTAGGCTGACTGGGCCCCGAAGGCTGACTAGGTCCCGAAGGTTGACTAGGTCCAGAAGGTTGAGAAGGTGCCGAGGGTTGGATGGGTTGTGTAGGTTGCGTAGGTACAGATGGACCAGGCCCCACAGGCTGAGTAGGAAATGATGGCTGAGAAGGTATCGGTGTTTGAGCTGGACCAGGGCCCATAGGCACGGCAGGCGTCGTCGGAACTACCGGTTTGCCAGGTATAGGAATGTCTACCTTGGGCTGAGCAGGATCCACTGGCTGAACAGTGACAGGCTGGATGGTGCTGGGTACGACAGATGGGATGGCAGAACTGGACAGGCCTACGACGGTTTGAGCTGGACTGGATGCCGGAGGAGCACTACTAGGAAGAGGTGCTGCAGCCGACATAGTTTAAATTTGACTTGAGATGTGCTGATGAGAATGTGAGAGATTGTTGAGTATTGACCGTAACGAAATTATGCGTCTCTTTATAACAAAAACGGCTTCATCGTGAAATTGTATCACATTGCATTGAGCGCGGCCTTGCAAATCATTACCAAAATTAGCAAGGTAGATGAAACCTGAAACGGGCGGTGAGGGAGGGATTCCAATAGGAATTGTCGTACGTACCGATGTTCCGATGACAATGGGATGTACCTGGTTTTGCAGCCTCTTGCGACCGCAGTGAATGAGAAGGAGGTTAGGAATTCATTTCCAAGTCGGATGTTTCCTATGACCGAGTGTTAGAATGTGGGTATGTCAAAAACTTCCGATAGAAACGTACCAACTACCAACTGCTAGTAAAGGGCGGATGACTTTGAAATTGTCCATCGTATGTTTTCCTGTTCCTGGATCATATCCATTTGCCGATTAGACACGAAGTGCCTGCACAGGCCGCCTCGGCGGGCTGAACCTATTTTTAGACCACGGAGGATAAACATCTTGAAAAGGCGAAGAGTGTATTACAACAATAAATGGCGACCGCTCTGGAGACTGAGTCATCAGGTGTGAGAAAATGATGAGAAGGAGTTGACTGAAGTCCGTTTGCCTTGCTGCAAATGGACTAGGCTTTGATTGACCAATTCGACGAGTGCAGGGGATGTGAAATGCAATGTCGCGCTCAACTCATGGAACGATGTCACCTGGACAATTCCTGATCAGAAAGTGACATGCCAGCGGGAAAGATAGTTATAAGCACTTAGATGGAAATTTCATCAAGCCACGATTGTCGTTGAACAGCATCATATGCCTAACCGGTTGGCAGGGACCTTCCGCGATCAGAAAGGATGGGCAGCAGTGGGGGCATAGGGCCGCCGACGCTGCGCTAGAAGAGATGAATCCGAGTCGTGCGTTGAAGCTTCAGAAGGGTTCAAAAGCTAGTCGGTGCCACGGAAGAAAAAAGACGACCGGGTACATACTTGTGCCTTCAAACAGATATACTAAGGTGAGATTAAGCTGGATATCACAGAATTTGCGAGAGTCTGTGCAAGACGAGGGGCTGAGAAGGAACTTGAAGAAAGTCAGAGGTGAAGAGGCCGTGGGAAATTTGACTGCACCATCGGTCAAGATTTGTTATGAAGAAAAATAGATAAATGAACTATCGGGACTACCAAGGGACTACAATGATACAAATTACAACTTTTCCTCTTATGCGGTCTTGCGAAAGGCAAGAATCCTCGTTTAACTCTGGATCGGACACACGCGTTTCATCGGGCGAGCGCCTTCCTCGTCGACGTCGACATGGTCCCCATCCTCGTCTCGAGCCCTGTTCTTCCCTTCCAGTATATCACTCACAGGAACAGGCGAGGGAGACAAACGCTTGGGAGGACGAGCGCCATTAACCTCATCACCTTCCCCTCCATCTGACTCTCGAGCCCTCTTCAAGCTTTTCCCCTTTGACTTACTGGCGGTTTCGGGAGGTGATAGTGTAGGTGTAAAAGGGACACCGAAAAGCTCCGAGGATGTCTCCGGCGGTTGGGATGAGATGGGACTCGCTTGATCCATGCCAACAGGAGGGGTGACGATGTGCCAGTGGGCTTGTTCGGCCTTTGAAGGTTCTGCATTCGTTGTTAGCCACGAAGAGATCGAACCAGATGGGGAGAATGGCGTAGAGTTGGTCACAGGCGGTGTAGAACCCGCCCGGGAGGACGTTGCTGCTTCTGTAGAGCCTGCTGATGGCGGGGAGGGGGTGAGCAGGGCGGTTGATGGCGATGTGTCCAATACATTAGCGTAAATGGAGGTTAGTGCGGCCTTTTTCGCTATTGACTTGACCCGAAGGTTTGCATAGCCATTATAGTTTCTGAACATTCCTATAGAGAGCAGAATCATAAATTGTCAGTACAACATTCGAATGGTCATCGAGATTGAACGGACCCACCTCTGAATAGTCGTGGTCGCCGAAAGGAGAACGGCAACTTCTTCCTGTTCTTCCTGGCAAGGAGTAGCTCAGCAACACTTCCCAACGGTTTTATCGCTGGAGCGCCATGGCGAGCAGATTGCTTTTTTGTGCCGGACCTTTCCTGCGTACCCTGGTTCCCATCTGCAAGTTGTGTCGAGCTTACCCCTCCTTCTTCGTCAATGCCCTGATCCTCACTTTTCCGAAGCTTCCGGCGGCGCTTTCTCAATTTCCTCAAAGCTTTTGGCCGCTCAAACTTCACCATCATCCTCAAGGCCGCCTTATCCTTCTCTACCCGATCCTCCTTCATACACTTCGTCAAAAAATCCATATTCTCATCCGCATCGGAGGGTAATTTCGGAGGACGGTAGATGGGAGCACCGCAACCCTCATAGAAAACGTAGTTTGACTCCTCGTACTTTCTCTTCCTTTCGTTGTACTCCTCGGCTTTTTTGGTGGCTTCAAATTCCTTGGCTGTTATTGGACCGTAGTATTTGGAGAACGGGGGGATGGACGATGAGTAAGGTGTAAACGTCAGAGTAAACGGGAGTTCGGAGGGGTGGATGCGACGGCCGGTACGCGTGTCCCGAATTTCGAAGAGGCCGTTTTCTGGAAGGCAGTTGGAGTCTGCCAGGACGATTTGCTCGACAGGCGTGCCGACATTGGTCGATGACCCTTTCATGAGGACGGGTGGGAGTGCTTCGGCACCAGGGTTTACGCCCTCAACAATGGTGAAACAATTATCGGATCTGTAAAGCATAGTTTGAGCAAATGGCATAGATGAACTCAGAGCGCAGGACGACGTACACGACTTTCTGAGATGTTTGCTGCCACATATTCCTCCTATATATGCCGATTCATGATGAGATGAGCAATCAAGCGCGTTCAAGAAAGGACTTACATGGAGGTTGTAACCGTGCTAAACTCGGTTGGCAAGGCGGAAATTACGGTCTCAGCGAAGCGCAGCATTGGTAGCTGCGTGTGGTCCAAATCTTCTCTCGCGCCAAAGGCAGATCCTTGGGTGGAGAGTCTTTGACATAGTCTCAAAATGTCGCATGCATGCTCGTGGGCTGAGCGCGACGTGTCGCGATCCGCATCGATCGGATCGTAAGGTAAGACAGGTATACGGCAAGAGCTGCCAGTGCTGGACATGTTGATTGAAGTGGGGAGGCTTGCTAGCAAGATTCGCTTGCCGCTTTATAGGAGCGGAGTTTTGCGCTTTGCCTTTCGCCAAGAATCTGAAGGTGCGGTGGCCCATCATTCGCACCTTGTCCCCAGGCCACATTTAGCCACAAGACACATTGTTGACCATGTGGTTCGACTCACAATGGAAGCCCAATAAGAATTGAGGAGAACTTTATCGTTGTGAGGGTACGGAGTAAGGTGCAATTGTAGCTGTATATGCAATTTCGTGCTTTGGCCTGGCTAGAGAACAATTCGTTACATTGTCTTTGATATATTGCCCGCACATACCTCAACCTTATCCTGCCTTGGTTGTTCCAGCTGCTGAGATGGCGAACATCTCGGGCAACTGGGAAGTGCTGGAGATTCGAGAAGACGTTTATATCCATCGCCATCACGTGATGACCACGTCGTGTTGAAATTTGAGATTTCGTTGACTGCCACCTGAAGAGTTCTTGGCTCTCCCCCTCATCAGTCTGATTCAGCGCTCACTCTCGCTACGCCGTTACCGCTAACTAATACCTGACACCGTTATATACAGCGCCAAGCCGTTTATTGGTGACGACGATTGCGAGGATTATGGCCAACCATAAGTCTTCCTTGAGAGACCAACTGCTTTCGAACTCTCCTGACCCAATCAAGTCTTCTATCTTGCGCGAGTCGGATATGGCTTGGAATTTACAATCAAGTGGCTCCCTTTCCTCTTCCTCTATTGAAGGGTCCATTACCTCTCCACTTCGTATCTCGAAACGAAATTCCCCAGGACCTGTGATTGCCCGACAACATGTTCATAACAACAACCTTGTTTCAAAGTCTCCCTTTGAATCGCAGATCGCAACCCCGTCTACCTCGTCCAATCGCTTGGTCCCAATCCCCATCACCTCCCCGACCTCGTCGCCCTCCCAACGGGTCTCAGGGGAGAAGCGACCTCGTCCTTCTTCTCTTTATGAACAAACAGAAGACGAGAATGAGCGTCCGTTTGCTTTGAAACGAGAACGCAGACAAAGTCATGGTTTTCAAGACCTCAACGAAAAGGAACCAGTCACCAAGAGTCCTTTCGAGTTGCGTCAACGCACGAGCTCCGAGGCCCGACCTTCATCCTCGCCTATCCCCGCTCCTCTCACCAGAACACCTCTGGCTTCCTTTGCGACTTCCACCACCTCAGTACAGCCTCGCGCCTCATTTAGTGTTTATCCTCCTCCCGCGATGAGTCCAGGTCCCTCGCCTGGTTGTTCATCACTCGTCTCAAAGAGGCTGCATGGTCCTCATCCCAGTTTTGGCGGGAACAGGGAACGCCGAAAAACGGTTGGTTTTGACGAACGGTGCGATGTTGTCGAGTTCGACCTTGAGGAAGAAACAGATGACGAAGATGATGACGCTCCGGGCATCTGGAGAATCACCCGCGTGAGGAAGTAATGAGTCCTATGAAAGTATACAGCTACCGGGCACGGGGAGTGCGGGTGTTACCCTTTCCCTGATGGCCTTGGATTCGGATACCAGCATAACTGGCCTTGTGGAGGAGACGTTTTTTTCACCCACTTCCAGACTCTAGCTTTGCATCTAACACGAGTACCCCCCCTCCCCACGACACTCAGACATACCCACGGATTTGGACACTGAAGACGGCGTTCCATTCAGGATTGAAAGGTTTATTCAACAAAGCCAACAACGACCCTACCAGACCCAACAACCTCCTGCGTTTCCACCTCATTGACTCTGGAGAAATGGCAGATGTAAAGGAGAAGAGGAACAATCTCCCTCACATCCGGGCTTCCAGTCACCTGTTTTGGCGGCGCATTGCTTCTCCAATAGGCGGAGTGTCTTCCCCAGTAGCGTGTATCTCCTCGAGTATTGGGCACGTCACTTCCCCTTTACTTACTGGTGGGCTAAATCTCAGTATGGGGGCGGCCACGAATTAACAAGGAAGATGTGAAGGGGTGTTGGTAGTCCAAGCCCCGAACAAGGCTGCTTCTTACTCCAGAAAATGTCGCATAATGTTTCCCAATCCGTACAGACCTGTAATAAACTATAACGCCTCTTAGACCCTCAACAATACCTATGATATTTCCTGTGTATCATTACTAGCCTGGCTCAACGTATCAAGATCAGCCAGGAAACCTAAATCAACCGTCACTCTAGGGCAAGCCCTGTTAATCTCCTTGATGAATGACCTCTGCGTCGCTCTTTTTACACTAGGTGGCGGTGAAGCGTAGGTGAAATCCTGAAGCCCTGGAAACCGTGCTACGAACTGGGGTATCAAAGCCATCACCTCTCTCCGCCACATATTCCAAGACCGGGTGACATTGAGAGTAGTTACGCTCTCGAGAGCGGCAACTGGGCTGTTCTCCTGTGACACATGCTTGTCAAGCCACTCTATGGCGCCGGCCTCTGGATAGAACGAAATGTATAGATTGGTGACATGGGGAGCGCTGCGAGGAATTCGGCTCAGAACTCCATCCCAAGTGTTGTAATCAAAGGTCCGAAACAAAGGGTAGGCTTCTGACACCAGGTATAGTGAGGTGAGGTCTTCAAAAGCCTTTTCACGGTTCAAAAGCCAAACAGTGAACCAGGCATCCACTTTCAGTGTTTCCAAAGTTGGAAGAAGCTTCCGACTCGGAAGCTGATGATGGGCCGTCGGCCGGGCAACAGTGCGTAGTTCCAGATTTACAATTGAAGGATGCCTGGTCAAGAAACTGAGGAGGCTGTTAAACGGGACTGCTGTAGGCTCGAAGCCTCCCAGACTGCTGGTCAACTCAAACTTGGATAGGTATGGGAGAGTGATATTTGAGAGGATATCTTGCCATGTGTTTGTCGGGATACCGTCGGTCCGGAAAGAGACTGCTGTAAGAGTCCGGGAGTTGTTCCGTAGGGTGGATATCGTCCACTTGAGAAAAGGCGGTTGGAAAAGAACGATGGTCAGTGCTCGGAATTCCCGTAGTCCATAGTGGCGGCTGCGGCCACCCAACCGCTTCAAACTGAAAGGAATAACAACTCGGTCAATCCTCCGCAGGAGGCGCCTAAATCCTGAGTTGACGATGGAACGTGACTGGACTCTGATAGCTGATGCAGAGTCAGCTCCGGGGTCTGGGCGGATTTCAAATCCTCCAGCCACCGACAAAAGTGTGCATGACCTATTGGTGATGAGATCCAGAAGGCGGATAACTTCTCTTTGCCATGCTGAATCGGGAACGGTGGGCGACAGCAAATGCGAATATGAAAAGCTCAAGTAAAACCTCTTCATCGACGGCAGGCGAGAAATCAGCCTGCCGAGCTCACGAGTAGATGGAAGGAGTCGATCATCGTAAGTGCTAAAGCCGACGCCAAGTGATTCGACGTTTTGAACAAATAAAGCGAACCGAAGTGCATGCAAGATATGAGCTGGAGGATCGTGCAAAAAGAACGATGTGGTGTCGTGAATGTCGGCTCGGGCGAAGACGATCGGCAAGGCGAGGAAGTGAAGTCTCCTGCAGGTCAGGCTGAGCTGCACAAGGGACTCGCTCTCGAGCTGATCGATGATGTTTTCGAGGAGTTCATCTGGGAGAGAGACAAGTTCTGGAGCATGGGGCGACTGCATTGAGCTCAACGTGAGTGACCGACGACCGTTTACAAACTGACAGGCACATACTCTTGTATTTATCAACTTTCTGGGCCGACACAGCCCTGAACTTCAAGGCAATGCAACTTCAAGCGGCAGGGTTGGTTAGCCACTACAACACGGCGAAGCAGATTCCATATACTTGACTCATTGAGCATGGCGGGTTGGCATCTCGGTTACTACTACCGTCTAGCCTCGACGGGCTTGAGAAACGAGCTTGAGCTCTTGTTGAGCTCTTTGCAAATTTATTGAAAGTCCGGGTGATTGTAATAAAAAGACGAGGCATACCATTTATGTCGCTGTACATACCTCAGGTGTACCCCTCCAAAAGTGTTCGAGATCAGGCATTCAAGTTGTCAATGTCGAAAAAAGAGGAAGAGTTCGAAGAGTCGCTTGACAATTTATGCATATGGTTCAATCTCAATATTCAATATTCAATATTCGATATGTACCCGCATCTATAGGACTTTTCAGAAACGCAGAATAGACTCTTCATCTCTGCGTCCTTGCTGCGTCCTGTTGTTCTCTCATGCAGAGAGTTACTGTTGGCTATGGGGCACAGGACGTGGCGTAACGTTCAAATCCTACTGAATACTCCACGAAGCTCATGCATGTATCAATAATACTTAGTCCGGATCCAGACTCAATGTATCGATATCGACAGGGGAACCTGTTTCAACAGTCACGATTTTCATGCCAGGACACGCCAACTTAATCTCCCTAATAAACGATGTCCGTATCGCCCTTTCCACACCAGGTGGTGGTGGAGCATAGATGAGGTGTTGGAGGCCAGAAAACCGCGCTAGGAAATGGGGCATCAGAGCTACCACATCACTCTGCCACATATTCCGAGACTGGAAGAGATTGAGGGTAGTTACCCTCTCGAGGGCGGCAAGAGGGCTGGTCTCCTCAGGCTGTGATATTTGCTTTTCCAGCCATTCTGCGATACCAGCCTCGGGATATAATGTGATGTGTAGGGTATTAACCTGAGGTGCACTGTGAGGAAGGAGGCCTAGCGCATTGTCGAAGGTGTTGGTATTGGAACCAAAGGGAAAGTTCAGATCCTGAGAGTATTCCGACACCATTTCCAGTGATGTGAGATATCTAAAAGGCTGCTCACAAGCCAGAAACCAAGAAATGAGCCAGGGATCTGCTCTCAGAATTTGTAGAGCAGGAAGGAGGGTCTGAGGCTGAGGACCTCCTGGAAGGGTGATACCGTATAGATCCAGATCGACAATTGAAGGGTGTCTAGTCAAGAAGCCGAGGACGTCGCCAAATTTGACTGTTCGCTGCTCGACGACCACACCGTCGGGGCTAAGCTTGAACCTGGACAAGAATGGGAGAGTTATGCTCGAAAGAATATAATGCCACGTATCTGCGGGGGTTCTGTCAATCTCAAAAGAAACCGCAGTTAAAGTCTGCGAGTTGGATTGGAGTGTGGATATTGTCCAGTCAAGGAAAGGTGGGTGGAGAAGGACAACGGAAAGCGCGCGGAACTCACGTAATCCACGATGATGGTTACGGCGACCCAAACTTGCCATAGAACGAACGGCTCCGTCAAGGCGCCTCAAAATGCACCTAATTTGGCGGTCAATTGGATTTACGTGACGCGATGATTGGGATCCGGTAGCCGGCGTGTAGTCTCCCGTAATACCATCTCCACCATCCACAGATAAAAGGACGCATGATCTGTTGACTACAAGATCCAAAAGGAGTAGAACCTCCTTCTGCCACCCCGGATTGGGAGCACTCGGCGACAGTGAATGTGATAAGTTTAAGTAGAACCTTTTCACGGATGGAAGGCGAGAAACCAGCTTGTTCAGCTCACGGGCATACGGAAGGATTGTGCTGGCAGGATAGCCAAAGTCGATGCCAAGGGAGTCGACGTTCTGAATGAACAAAGCGAGCTGAAGGGCACGTAGAATATGGGCCGGAGGGTCGTGCAAGTAAAAGCATGTGGCGTCATCGATGTTGCCCTCCAGGATATTGGCTCGGGCGAAGACAATGGGTAAGACAAAAAAGTGAAGCCTCTTGCATGTCATGCTAAGCTGTATAAGGGACTCATCGTCGAGGCGGTCGACGATGTTTTCGAGGAGCTCATCTGGAAGGTCGACGAGCGATGGCGTGTTGGGTGACTGCATCGAAGAGCGACAGGTAATTTATTGATTACTGTGGTATTTCGACCGACTGTTCAGTCACCAGATCTGGCGCTTGTCACGGGTCACTTGGAAGGTCGAATAGGGTGACATTTTACCCTAAAAAGGAAAAAAAAACTCATTTTTCTCCGCTGCGCGGCGTACAAACTATATAACATCCACTAAGTATGATTCCGAGGCGATGCAGCCAAGATGCAGCGTCAAAACGCTGTGGTAAATTGGGATCAGACCAAGATCACTGATCAGACCATCCCGCAACTTGGACCCCTCGGATTGAGCTTCCTCAACCTTCCTGGCCTTGATTGCAGAGAGTTCACACAGTTAGAATCTGGCGGCCGGAATAACATTCTAAGACGTACCCTTGATGTTGTAATTCCGAAAAAGCATTCAAAAGCAATATCAGTTTCAGTCGAGGTCAGGTGGGAAGAATTGAAGTCACGAGTCTGTAAAGGTGCCACTATACTTGGCACACTTTGCCCTCCACCGTCGTAGACCTTTAATTCCGACAGTATGATCAACTGAGAACTCGGTGACCTTTTAAATCCATCCCGTGAGTTCATTGAATTCATATATTTCATGATATGGAGCATTGAGACCGTCGTTTAGGATTTTTTTTGGGATCTATGTACTTGAATCTCATGTCGGCAATGTTCATCCACATTCTTATGCTGGCAACTTGCCAGTCATTTGTTCGATCAAGTAAAGCACAACAAGTCTCAAGATGATTCAAGATTTGTTGTATCAATCACGTCGCCGTGTATTGCAAACAAAACAGAGGAGGGGAAAGGCTTGATCCGGGTGCGTCATAAGTTTGCTCCGAGGATCAGTTAGGCTTGACCCCTTCCAAAGTTCAAGCAAGATCGGGCTGCCCGAAGGGAGTCTGAGCTTCTGAGGCCAATTCCGTCGTACAGCCTGTTCGCAATCTCGCATGTGACTTTGCCAGCGATTAGAATTCAGACGCGCATCGCCTCATCAAAGTTCAAACCTGTGGGTCAGGCTCGACATGCCTCTCGTCTAAACAACTTCCCCCTTCTTTGCTTTCAATGCCACCATCCGATGTAGCGAGATTACCCGATCTTCCGGACGAGCTCCTCGCTGAAATCGTTAACCAGCTTGACGATGAGTCCCTTATCCAGCTTAGCATGACGTGCAGGAAATTCCACTTCCTGGCACTACCTGTCGTCTTCACTCGAGCCAAGCTTGTCAGTACTGAGTGCCTTTATCTGCGGCAATCGCCAGCACATCTCCTGCGTGCGCTTCGGATTGCGCTGTTCGTTGATCATGCCACATCTTTCATCATTGGCCTGAATCACGACAGGGATAGACTTCTTCCAGAAGTACAGAGCTTCAAAAGGCTCGTCTCCCTCATGCCGAGCACGTTAATGTTCACCTTCTTCATGCCGTTAACCTTCGCATTCAACAAAGATGGTGTATTCGATCGATGGACGAGGGAGGTTGTTCGGCTTTTTTATATCGTTCTCTGAGATATGGTTTCACCATCTTTTGAGTCAATTGACGCCCCATCGACCAACACATCATCTCTCCGGCTGCCCTTTTGCAGCTTCCCATCGTTAAAAATATCAGCGGTCGACTAAGGAATCTACCAAAATCTGCCAAGCGCACCATTCTCTCTACTATTCCTCAGAACTCAACAGGTCAGGGCAGTAGCCCCCACTCCAGTGTCTTGCAACGTTTCCATGCGCTTTCCCCAATGCTTTTGCAACCCGAGTTCCTCGATTGGACCACATCCACACTCCAAACCAACTCTCAGACCCTTCTCGAAGTTTCTTTTGAGACCGACCACATATCCGCGAGCACGTGTTGCGATCTCCTCTTAAAGCTCACTCTCCCATCCCTATCCAGATTCCGGCTCACCTGCAATGGTGTCATGGAACGGCAAACAATCTGCTTCAATGATATAGTCAAGTTCTTGCCCGACATCCTTCCATTGTCGGCTTGGATCTCTATGTCCTTGTCCCAAGGAATAACCATCGTCCTCGGCCTGGGAATCTGCTTCCAGCTTTGGAAACACTGATATCCCCTCCCGAGTTGATCGTTTGGCTCCTGGATTGTAAATACCCTTGCAAACAACTCAAATCATTGAACATAGAGTCGGATATCCACCATGGGCTAGCAGCTGACTATGACATCTTCGACGAAGTCCTGGTCTTACTTCCTCACTGCACTCCCTCGCTCACGACTCTGAACCTGTCCTTTTGGGGTCCTCGTCCAATACAGTGGCTCGATAAACTTACATCGCGAGGCCATGATGGCTCTCCGAGCGGTCCACTTGCAGCTCTCAAGGGGATAACCACCCTCAAGCTAGAACTTTGTCGATCTTGGGAGAAAGAGGTGGTGGATGTGATACCTCATTTCGTGGTGCAGTTTCCGGGACTGCAGCATGTCATTTACCCTGAACCCCCTTCAAACCTCGCCATCGAGCCAGCGAAGAGGAAGTTTCTCAAAGAGATTGCGCTGATGTGTCCGGGAATGAAGACGGTTTCCATCGGGTGTACGCCGGTCAATCTTGATTTGTTGAGTGAAGGTTGATACCATACATATGTACTTAATGCTTGTTCCATTTTTCTGTTACGCGGTCGAGGAACCTTTATCGTCGCAGTCACGATCATTCAACTTTGCAACCAACCTTCAATACATTGAAGGTCGGGCTAATGACAGTTTCTTACGATAGCAACTTCGGTCATTAGATAGTTTTAAGATTCATATGACAGATATAAACTACATTGCCTCCTCCACAACTCCCGCTTGGTTCACCAACAAGCCTCCTGACAACATAATAGTAATGGCCAGATGGATGTCGTTACGTGCCGTCCTAGGGTTACTCAATGTTGTCCGATGCATTCTTCGCCATCGCCATTCTTCACAACGCCAATATCTCTTTTTCTTGCAATCATCGACCTCAGTGCGAGGGTGGGAATTGTGCGATATATAATGCTCGATTCTGAGATGTTCTGTTCAAGCCCGACAAATAAATGTTTTCAAATAAAGCCTTACGTGCAAATCATGAGACCCTTCACACTAATGCGTCATTACGAGTGGTCAGTTTCGAGGCTTTAGAACGCGATACAATTGACTCACTTCATCGTGGCCGTGTTCAACTTCTGGTACCCACACGGCCATATACCACGCTTCCCTTCGACGTACCCTCTCCCCTCATCCCAAGCAGCCAAGCGGCGCCCACCTCTTCAATGGCGCGTAAATCGAATCCGACGGCCTACAAGGTCCAGGCTGGCAATCATGATCATCCAGAATAACGAGACCAGACGTCTTTATGCAGCGACACATAAGCCGAAATTTCGTAGTTTGGCAGTAAAGGTAGAAGGCTTCGGAGATAGTCTAGATACTCCCTGTTGTAGATGCCACCAAGACAAGAAGTTAGACAGCGGTAGAGAATGAGGATACGACCACGTACATATGGTCGTTCATGTTCGACCGCTTCCGAAGTCACCAGAAATCGAACTGTCATGAGGTTAGCAAGGGAGTTAATACAATGGGAGAAGAAGACGCTTACCGACAAACTTCAACCCCCACCGGCGAAGACGCGCAAAATGCTCCGGAGCCTCCTCTAGTGGAAACGGCCGCCCAACGAAGGTGACAAACTTGCAAACATGAACATCTGTTGCGCATGAAAACTAGGAGAAATACCCAGTGTTGAAGAGCGGTCTTTGGCCTCGCCCTCCGCTACCATCTCGGGCGCCATAGGCGGCGAGGTCATGTTTTTTCGGCCGTCATTGACGAGGTTCAACGACGGAGACTGGATGGGTTGTGAGTGGTAAGAGCTGGGTAAGAGTTGGTCAAGAGGAAAATGAAATACGACGTTATTTTGACTTGTTGAGAAGCATTCCACTTACCAACATCGTCTAGTTCTGCAACGTCGCCCGTCGTACAGCGCATCAAGATGAATGCCGAAAGCTCCCAGCAGGCGCAAGAGCGCGATAGGAATCGATTGGCACGAAATCGTACTGGCGGACCGATTGCACGGCGCATCAACGCGTCAAAGATTTTAGCTTTGAAGGGGGATCCAGCCCCCTTCAATGATTTCTCGTCCTGGGCTCAGGACTGTGCCAATGGAAAAGTTTACTTCTATGGTGGTACACTACCTGGTCTTGCAAGTGATGGAAAGTACACCGCCGACTTATTTTCACTCGACCTCGTGTCAATGGAGTGGCAGGACCTCACGGTAGGCGCTCACTCAAGTAAATAAGAGAGATTGATTCAACTTCGTATTTCAGGATATGCTGCACTTCACCAACCCCTATGACCCATTCTCAAAGCTTTTGCAGGGTGAGAAGCTTCCAGCGCTTCAACATGCGGCATGCGCGTTCATCAGCTTGAACGACCGGAATTTTTTGATGGTTTTTGGTGGGTATGATCAAGCCAAGTCAAAGCGGTCCTCCTCCCTCATCGCCATTGATGTTGACCGGCATTCCTGGTGGTGGGTGCGACCCGAAGGTATCCCCGTGATCTCGAGGTTCTCGCCAACAATGGTCGCAATTAAAAACCGCCTCTACATATTCGGAGGTTTACAGGATGACGTGATCCTCAAGTCCTATTCAATCATCGAATATGCAGATGGTGCATGGCGGTGGGTGGAGCGCGACCGGCATGCCTGTTACCCAGATGGGTCAGAGTTGCCTTTGTGGCCGTTCGCACTTTCCGCGAGTGCAGTCTCCCTTTACAATGGCAAGCAGATCCTGCTAACACCTGGAAGAGCAAACATCGTGAGTCTCCCCACCCCCTAATCTTTATGCCTCAAGGAAACCGACACACTTTACTCTTTCAACGTGATAGGGGCAAACCATTCATTTCTCCAAAGAGAATGTTCTTTTTTTTCACAGCGAAAACAGGACATTTCACAATATTGCCCTTACTGTCGGCGACTTCCCGCAGAACATTTGGTGGTATCAAATACATGTCGTCAATCACAGTAAGGTATCCGGAAGGCTCTTCGCGGCAACTTCGGGAAAGAAGCGAAAGCGTGACTCTGACGCACCTCAAATCTCATCGTCAACAACCCCTCGTGTCATTATCTGTGGATGGACACCCTACCCTAATACTGACGACCTTATCCCGGAGTTCTGGGAGTATCTTCCCTTCCCTGAAGATAAAATAATGTGTTTGAACGTCAGTCAGAAAATCTGGGACATGGACCAAGACCTACAAGGAATAGCCTCAATGAAAGGGCGCTTATTTCTTCTAGGTCGCGACAAGCCTGAAGTGAATCTTTGGGACATATACGTCGAGGCTACTGATCTGGTGCGTAGTGATCTCATTCCTTGGAACGAACAAGTTTTCATTCAACACATAGATCAAATAGGCTTTTTGGAGTCCTGTTTGTTGTGATGGTAATGCTCGGCGACCTCTACCTCGCCCCCCCCGATGCGTTTCATCTGTATAGTAGTGTAAGCTTAGGAATGTAAACTCGTGTATCGAGGTGTTAAAGAGGCGGTGTACTTGCGGTGTACAAATAAATGTCCGAGTACAACCCTGTACAACCTTCCTCTTGACTAACTACTACTCACTAGTACTCACTTCCCGTCATAACACCATGCCCAACTCATCCAGTCTCGATGCGCCGTTTGTCCTCGTTGACAATGAGCGACAGGACACGACCTCGCCGCCTGTGGCGCCCGAGAAGGTCGCAGAGGTCGAAGCCAAAGGTCGCTCTCCAACACTGGTTCGTATTTCACCTAGTTTTCGTGCACAGCAGGTGTTCATGTTCATGTTTTCAGCCTACCCACCCTTCGAACAATCCTTCATATATACCTGGATCTATGCCCTCATACGCACACGACTGGTCGCAGAACGGAACTGGGGGACTGAGAACACATGGGCGACATTTCATAGACGCTTACGGGCGCGTATGCAACTTGCGAGGAGTAAACCTGTCGGGGTCTTCGAAGAGGTGGGTTGTAACTCAGTCTTACTGGAAGCCCATTACATTCTTTTTTGTTCAAGTCCAGCCGACCATGATCACGAAAACTTCCCGGGCGACCACAAGTTTGTCACTTTCGTTGGGCGCCCGTTTCCACTAGAAGAGGCTCCAGAGCATTTTGCGCGTCTTCGCCGGTGGGGGTTGACGTTCAGTAAGCGTCTTCTTATCGCTTTGTTTCAACTCCCTCGCTAATCTCACGGCAGTCCGCTTCTTGGTGACATGGGAAGCAGTCGAACACGAAGGACCGTACGTCGTCATACCCTCATCATCTACTGCTGTCTAACTCCTCCTTTCAGTGGAATTTACGACAGGGAATACCTAGACTATCTCCGAAGTCTTCTATCCTTACTGCCAAACTACGGAATATCGGCTTTCGTGTCGCTTCATCAAGATGTCTGGTCTCGTTATTCTGGAGGGTCAGGCGCTCCAGCCTGGACCTTGGAAGCCGTCGGATTCGATTTGCGTGCCATTGAAGAGGTGGGCGCCGCTTGGCTGCATGGGATGAGGGGCAGAGGGCACGTCGAAGCGGAGCGTGGCATATGGCCGTGCGGGTACCAGAAGTTGAGCGCGGCCACAATGGCGTGAGTCAATTGTTTCGCGTTTTGAAGCTTCGTCGCTGATCAACCGTGACGGTGCAGTACGTGTTTCTGGGCAGGAGCCACGTACGCCCCAAAGTTGCTAGTGAAAGATCGGCACGGCAAAGAAGTCAACATTCAGCAATATCTACAGAACGCTTTCTTGGATATGTGGGAACTGGTTGCTCAGTCAGTCGGGGATCTAGAAGGTGTCCTTGGATTTGAGGTGAGAATTACGGATGTCCTTCCACGGGTAATGTCACTAAAGAGATGCAACAGATGATGAACGAGCCGCATAGAGGCTACATTGAAATACCATCACTACATGCCTTCGACTACAACACAGACCTTCATCTGTCGCACGTTCGTAAGTCGATTTCACTTGCAACCCATGCCTATCTGAATCCCCGTCGTAGCTTCCGCCTTCGAATCGTTCCAGTTGGGTGCTGGCCACCCTACTCTCGTTTCAACGTGGACCCGCTCGTTCCCCATGCCTACGAAAAAGACGTCGACCACTCTGCTCAATACATCCAAGCGCAAAGCATGGCAGCCTGATGGCCCGACGAATGGTCGTTGCTTGTGGGAACTCCATCATGTCTGGGGCTGGGACAACGTGAAGGATCAACCCGTTGTTCTTCAGGAAAACTACTTCAGCAAAATACCGACTACTGGAAAGAAAGTCGGTGCTTTTTGCCTCTGTTGATATTTGCGACGGTCTGTCTTACTGTATGGCGCTACAGGTCGACTGGTACACAGACTTTTACTACCCTCTATTGAACCAGTGGGCTGAGCGCATCCGCACCATCACATCTCCAGACAAGCTCATTTTTGTTGAGCCAATTCCCAACGAGGTTTGCCCATCTCCCTCGTTCGCCGTTTCTGCGCTGACTAACATTAATATGATAGTTCTGTCCAACGTCTTTAGCAGAGCATCAACCTTCGAACATGGTATTTGCACCGCACTGGTAAGTCGCTCACGTCATTGACATCATCATCGGCTAACATAGGTTTACAGGTATGACCTCAACGCCCTTTTTACCAAAGCCTATGGAGACTTTACGGTCAATGTTCAAGGGCTCTCAAGGGTAAGGCGTTCTTCACCCTCAAGGATCAACCTGACGTCGTGGAATAGGGAATGTTCCCGCTGAAAACGTTTTACTGGGGTCACAAAGGTGCCAGAGAGAACTACACTCTGCAAATTCGAAACATCGTTGAGAAGGCGTATGATGCTCTTGGTGAAAGACCCGTTCTACTTGGGGAGTGTGGAGTGCCTATGGATATGAAGTACGTACGACTCTGTTTTCTTTGACAGTAAAAGCTCATTGGATACGATTAACAGTAAAGGCGAAGCTTTTGAGACGGGAGACTTCAAGTGGCAGGCTCGGATGATGGATGCTTTGATGACAGGTCTTGAGCAATCATTGGTTGGTTTTACGTGAGTGACTTTCAAAGTGGTTGATCGATTCTAAGCCTGATTTCGATTCTCAGATTATGGAACTACAACCCCGACAACGACGACCAGCGAGGTGACGACTGGAACGGAGAGAACTTTTCTTGGTTCAGCCGAGGTCGTGCATTGCCCCCCTCTTTGCTCTATCACGAGCAGGACGCGCCGTCTCTCGACAACGGCGGCAGGATCTTACCATCCATCGTCAGACCTTACGCAGCGAAAACGGCTGGTATACCCATCCACTTCCAGTATGAAATGAACACAGGGGCTTTCACATACACATGGGTCCATTCCACGCCAAACCCTGCTAGTCAAACGCGTCTGAAGGGACAGGAGAGCGTTTTCCAGCCTCCCAGGACGGGTCACGCCGCACTCACGTCCCTTGAGACGGAGATATTCCTGCCGTCGCAGTTGACACATGGGAGAAGAGTCATCGTCAAGGGGTTGGCTCCGGGCGATAAGTATCGATATGACGAAAGTCGGCAGACCTTGTTCATCGTGTGTCAGGACACAAGCTTCGACAAGTTCCATAGTATTATCGTTTCTTTGGATCCCCCGCTGGCTCCTGCGTTTGCAGTTAACGACTTTAGGAGTGATTTTGGTGGGATGATCATGTCGACTTTGGTGGCGATTCTTGCGATTCTTGCTTACTTTTTCCTTCTCTAAATTGATAGGCCATACCCTTCGAGGATTATTCTTTTGCCCTCCACCCTTTGTTCTCATTTCCGATTTGTAGACGGACTTTGTCACAAGCTTACTATCCAAATCATTGCGAAGTAATAGACAGTTTTGACACCATGATACACCGGTTTTTGAAGCAAATTCGGGATAGGATGCATTGCATGAGCTACTTGCAGGCAAGATAACGCCACATCGATATGACTCGGATACTAAGAGCTCCAAAGCGACAATGCCAGCGCGACTGAAGGGAGGAGTTCATTGCTTTCCAACCTCATTACTGGCATGATATTGCCCCAAGCGTCCAACACGTTTGGAACGTTCCACAGGGAGAAAAGCTTCCTCTATGTACAAGAATTGAGTCAAAGGGTATCCGAGGGGCGGAAGGGAAGCTTGGGTCCTTTTTCTTCCGTCGATGAAGGTGGAGGGTATTTGGGCGTCCTTTCGAGCGTCGTTCCATCCGTGTGAGTGATTGGAGTTGATGATGAAGAGGAACCCATTCCGTCGACGCTTCCGTTGGGAGGGACCCTAGGTGAAGACTGCAAACCGATCAATCTATCGGTCAGGGGGCAGAATGCTCTTAGTGGAAGGGTAGACAACAAAACGAACCCCTGGTACACTCCGAAAGGATTGTTAGATGTTTTCTCCGGTAACTCCTACGTGTTCAACCAGTGGCCACGAAGCTGCACGACAGTCCCAGCTACGGCAGTGTGGTAGAGCACCATCGACCCCCGTCAGAGAAGGTGAGCCAAGGGACCCTGCCGTTATAGAAAAGGCCGCCTGGCCGCCGGCGACCTGGGTAGATTAAATCCCAAAGTATTCAATGGACTGTAATTGAACACTCAATGCCAGCGATAGCAATGGGCAACTCACGGTCCACATTCACTAAATGACACCCGCAAGCCATTCGCCGTGCGTTCCTAATCCCACATCCCAGTTCGCGACCAGTCGTGTGCATTTGCGGGTATAAATCCTGGTATAGAGACGATCTGGGCTGAGAAATTGAATCCAAATTCCAGATGCACAAGAGATGGTCTTTGGCCTCAACCAAGCCTCGACCTCTGAAACCTTCTCCGAGTCCGATGCTAGAGGGAGTGGCATTTCGCCTTGTCGTCGTTGACTGGAGTAAAGAACCCCTTCAGACGGGCATCGAGGTGGGTGGATCGGTAAGGATGTTTATCTGCAACCGTGTGATGGGAACAACCAAGGAACAACGATGTCAGTGACAACTTCTGACAAGTGGGCGTCCATCTATTTCCCTTGCAGATCACAACAGAATACTAATTCTAAGCACTCAGGAATGGACCACGAAAGTTTAGAGGAGCCGCATGCTCGCAGCAGTGGCCGAACAGGGCGGAAGCGCACAAGGGGCCCGAGCTCAACCCAGAAGTCATTGAGCTCAACCTCGACAAACTCTGGGTTGACAAAACCCCTTGGCGGAGACCCACCGCCATTCAGCGATTGGACCAGTTTGGCCAGGGATCCCAGTGGACAATCTATGTACATGTATGGCGGTGTTCGCCCAAATAGCCAAACCTCCACCTCTGATTTCTATCGGTTGGATTTTGAGACGAAGAGCTGGACAAATCTCACAGTGCGTCCCCTCATTCCATTCACTTCTGCTGCAGCTTTAACCTCAAATAAATTTCTATTATTTAGAACACTTTGTTGTATATGGACGGTCAGCCTAATCCCAGCAAGGCAAAGAAGAAGGCTCTCCCCATCCTCGATCACCCATCTTGTGCTTTTCTCGCCGCCCACGACCGCAAATTCGTAACACTTTTTGGAGGTGATAAGAACGGAAGAGCTGTCTCTTCGTTAATTATCATCGACGTTGACCACTATCTCTGGTGGGAGGTCGACGGCGCAGTCACACCCCGGATAAATGCAGCTTCCGTCGGAATTGGCAACCGCCTTTATATTTTTGGTGGACATGGGGTGCCGCTCGCGGATACAACATTCCGATCATACAGTGTCGTCGAATACGATGCAAATGGTGACTGGATATGGGTTGTTCAAGATAGACCTTACCCTGCAAGCCTTCCAGCAATACCAGGCATTGGTGCAGCAGCAGTCTCATTATACGGGGGCAAAAAGATCCTTTTGACGCCGGGTCGGATAACTCAGAAGGCTGTAAGTGCTCCTCTCGAATTTACATTCATTCAGCTTACCTCTTAATTTCATCAGCCGATGCATTTCTCTGGGTACAACATGGTCCTCTTTCACACACAGAATGAGACGTTCCACGCCATCACCGAAACCGTCGGGAATTTCCCTCAAAATGTTCGGTGGTACCAGTTACACGTCATTGGCGGTTCGGGTTCATTCCCAGCCCAAGTCGGCGACAAGAGAAAACGGAATGCGGAGTCTGACCAGCTGGCCGTCCTAATCATTGCGTGGGTCCCTTACGGAAAAGATGAGCTGATACCTGAAGTTTGGAAATACCTCCCGTCTCCGGACGAGACGATCACATGCCTTGGCCTTCGCAAACAGATATGGGATATGGATCAGGACTTGCAAAGTTCTGCATGTTTGGGCGGTCGGGTACTCCTTATGGGACAAAGGGGGAACAGTTTGGTTTGGGATATTTATGTTGATATTACGGACATGGTGCGATGGTTTTTTTCCCTCGTCTCCTGACATGATCTGATTGTACTTCTAGATTAACGCAGATTAAATTGACCTGCATTAAAATCCAACCTCGGCTCGGTGCTATTGGCTTTGTGACCGAGCTTTCAACCAGAAGCTATATACCATTTCGACACAGCATTGTCCAATCTTATATACATGTACATGTAACTTGTATCCTTTGTGCATCATTTTCTGTTTAGGTCGAACATCTTCATAACCAGATCATTGAACGCGACAGGAATTTTTAAGAATGGCAATGAGGTCAGCACCAAGAGACCAATATTAGCTCTATACAGATGAAATGCGGCAAGGGGCAAGGTAGAGGTTGCAGAGCGTTACCACTATAGACAACGAAAGGACTCCAAAAAGTCTATTTGATCTATGCATAGCATAAAAAATTTGTTCACTCCAAGGAATAAGGGAATCCACACACCAGATTAGTAACCTCAACACATATGTCCCAGAGATCAACTTCAGGATTGTCACGACCAAGAAGGAATAAACGCCCTCCCATCGAGGCTATCCCCTGGAGGTCTCGGTCCAAGTCCCATATTTTTTCACTGACATTCAGACGTGTCATCTTGTCTTCAGGAAAGGGAAGATATTCCCAAAATTCTGGGACAACGTCGCCGGTGCCCGTGTATGGTGTCCAGCCACAGATGATGACACGAGGGGTCGTTGATGAGGATGAGACCTGAGGTGGGTCGGAATCGCGCTTTCGTTTCTTTCCTGAGATTGCCGCGAGAGGCTTTTGTGGTACCTCATTGGGTTCGACGATGTGAACTTGGTGCCACCAGACGTTTTGTGGGAAGTCGCCGATGGTGGATGAGATATTATGAAAGGTTTTGTTTTCAGAGTTGAACAGGAGGATATTTTCTTTGGAAAAGTTCTGAAAAGTAAAATGACTCATGAGGAAGTATTCCTTGTATGACAAGGAAAGGAGACTCACGACATCCTTTCTTCCGGGAGTCAGAAGGACCTGCTTGCCGTCATAGAGCGCAACTGCACTCGCAGTAAGGGCGAATGGCTCCGAAGGCAACTCAGAACCATCTGGGTAACAGGCATGGCGGTCCCGCTCAATCCACTGCCATGCACCATCTGCATATTCAATGATTGAGTAAGATTTAAGGACCACGTCATTCTGTAAACCTCCAAATATATAGAGGCGGTTCTTGATTGCGACCATCGTGGGTGAGAACCTTGAGATCACTGGGACACCTTGGGGTCGTACCCACCACCAGGAAAGGCGGTCGACATCAACCGCAATGAGCGAGGATGATGTTTCCGATGTCGCTTGGTCATATCCGCCGAAGAGCATGAGGAAGTGCCTCTTGTTCAACGTGACGAAAGTGCATGCGGCATGGAGTAGCGCGGGGAGCTTCCTCTCTTGCCGTAATTCAGAAAAGGGGTCATACGCATCGCTGAACTGCAACCTATCCTAGAAATTGGAGTGCAAAATTTAGAAAATATTCATGCCTTCGATAATTGACCATACCGTGAGCCGCTGCCATTCCATTGAGGCAAGGTTCAGCGAAAATAAATCGGCGGTGCAGTCACCGTCTCTGAGGCTGCAAGGCACACCACCATAAAAATAAACGAGCCCATTGTCGCAGTCCTGTGCCCAGGCTGAAAAGTCGTTCAGGGGAGCTGGATCCCCCTTCAGAACCAGTGTCTGAAACGCGTGGGCGTGCTCTGGGTTCCGCTGTCGTTGCGGGCGTTTCCTTTCGCGTTCTTGAGCTTGCCGAGAGGTTTCGGCCTCCATCTGAGATTAGTCGTGCGATGAACAAGTTGTGAGCGATATTTGAATTTTTGTTGAGCGTTGTTCTCAACAAACCAAAACAACTCCTCGTCGACAATCCAGCTTGATGTCTACATCAGACGACACAACATGGTCTTTCTCGCGGACATTCACCTCTCAATTCCAAGCCTCTCGTTACGGTCTGCACTTCTCCATCAACGCTCATATCCTTCATTGCTGAACGAACCAGTGACTTTCAGCCTTGGAATCTCGCATCGCAGCTGCAAGCTCAAAACTCAGTCCCTCCCCAGAACCCATCCAAGAACTTTCAATCTCACTCGCGAATTTGACGAAGACGCTCGCTGGTGCGACGGGCTCGTTGCCGAGTTATGATCAGAAGCAATACGAACTCGTACGTGCAGTTTCGAAGCCCTCGTAGAAGTGTCTGACGCCTTTATTGATATCTAGCAACTGAAGGAACTGGAGCGCTCCATTGAGGCGTTACGAGTATCTAACGTGCCGAAGAGTAAATTCGCGTTCAAGCGCAGACCTGCTGCTTCCACGAATGCCGAAAGTCCAACTTCCGAATCAAGTTCAACAGCAATCCCTCCTCCTTTGCAGACGAAAAACGCACCACCATCACTACCCGCAGCATCAACGCATCTATCGCTCTCTTCCCACTCACACCGCTACCTGACCCGCGAAGACCTACCAAGCCATCCAGCGCAATCCGACCTGTCCATCTCGGATCTAGATCATTGCATCGTCAACTTACTTCCATCGGCGTCTTCCAGTGGTAGTGGTACCGACACCCCGCTAATCATATCGGCACTTCACGCAAGGAACCTTTCCGATTGTGTGCTCCTTCTTCCGGATGTGGATGGGAGTGCGTTGATACATGATTTGGAAAGGTGTGTTGTGGTGCTTGGGTGTCATCAGGTACGCTTTGATTTATTGGAACCTTTGTGTTTTTCTTTCTTATGACTCCTGCCTTGCTCAGTTTAGGATGCACGCCTCCAGCAAGGTCGACGTGTACCTCTCTATCACGTCTAATCCCATCATCGAGCATTGCAAGGAGATCCGGTTTTCCTCCTATCCTGCGGCCCTTGCGCCGTCGTCAGTCTTGGAAAAGGTGTGCACTTTTGCGACGTTTCTCAATGACATTTGGGTGACCCGTCAATGTAGGACCCTGCCTCGTTCTCCGTTCAAGATTTTTCTCATATCCGGGCGACTCCTTCGCCCAATTATGTGATGAAAGATGGGACTGATACTGATGTTTGTGAATGGCCTCTCGCAACTGTCAGTGGAGAGGAACTTGAGCGGGCGATTGTTAGGATAGTACCCCATCCAAGTGATCAGCGCTAGTGACCTTTACTTGGATGCTGGAGACATGTACTTCGTCACCCTTGACTGATACCAAATTGATTTCTTCTGCGGACATCAGAAATGTTCGGATTCGTGACATTTGAAGAGGAAATCAACGATGAACAACAAAGCCGTTACATGTGTCGCAGTATACATGCTGCTCATGTCGTTCTCGCAGAAGGGCATCGACAAGCTGGGGAACTTCCAGGAACATATGAAGATGCGCCATCCGGATGGGAAGCAGTCGAACACGAAGGACCGTACGTACGTGGTCGTACCCTCATTCTCCACCGCTGTCTAACTTCTCGTGTTAGTGGCATTTCCGACGGAGTAGCTAGACAATCTCCGAAGCCTTCTGTCCTTACTGCAAAGCTACGGAGTATCGGCTTCGTGTCGCTGCATCAAGACGTCTGGTCTCGTTATTCTGGAGGGTCAGGTGGGACAGCCAGGACCTTGGAGGCCGTCAGATTTGATCCGCACGCCATTGAAGAGGTGGGCGCCGCTTGGCTGCTCGTGATTAGGGGGAGAGGGCACGTCGAAGCGGAGCGTGGCATATGGTCGTATGGGTACCAGGAATTGAGTGCGGCGACAATGGCGTGAGTCAACTGTTTCGCGTTCTAAAGCTTCATCACCGCTGATCAATCGTAACGATGCAGTACGTGTTCCTAGGCAGGAGCCACATACGCCCCAAAGTTGCTACTTAGTGAAAGATCGACACGGCAAAGAAGTTAACATTCAGCAATATCTTTTCTTGGATGTGGGAACTAGCTGCTCAGTCAGCTGGTAATTTAGAAGGCGTTCTTGGGTGTGCGGTGGGTATCACAGATGTCCTTCCACGGATAATTTCCCACTGAAGGGATACCACAGATGATGAACGAGCCACATAGAGGCTACACCCACGTACCGTTAATGCATGCCTTCGACTACAACACAAACCTTCATCTCTTGTACGTTCGCAAGTCGAATTCACTTGCAACCCATGCCTCCATAAATCCCTTTCGTAGCTTCCTGCTGGGTGCTGCACCCTACCCTCGTTTCAACTTGGACCTGGTCATTCCCCATGCCTACGAAAAAGACGTCGACCCCTCTCCTCAACACATCTAAACGCAAAGCATGGCGGCCTGATGGCCCGACAAATGGTCGTTGCCTGTGGGAGCTCCATCATGTCTGGGGCTGTGACAACGTTAAGGATCAACCCGTCGTTCTTCAGGAAACTACTTCAGCAAAAACCTGGTCACTGAAAAGAAGGTCAGTGCTTTTTGCCTGCGTTGATATTTGCGACGGTCTGTCTTACTGTATGGTGCTCTAGGTCGACTGGTACATGGACTTTTACTACCCTCTTTTGAACCAGTGGGCTGTGCCGTCACGTCTCCGGATAAGCTCGCCTTTGTTGAGTCAATTACTAATGAGGTTTGTTCGTCACCCCCGTTGACCGTTGAGGCGCCTGACGAACATCAATGGGATAGTTCTGTCCAACATCTTTGGCAGAGCATCAACCTTCGAACATAATTTGTGGACCTCACTGGTAAGTCGCACACGTCATTGACATCATCGTCGGCTAACATAGGTTGACAGGTATGACCTCAACGCCCTTTTCGCCAGAGCCTATGACGACTTTACGGTCAATGTTGAAGGGCTTTCAAGGGTAAGGCGCTCCTCACCCACAAGGTTTAACTTGACGTTGTGGAATAGGGAATGTTCCGCTGAAAACGTTAAATTCGAAACATCATTGAAAAGCGTGCGATGCTCTTGCTGAAAGTATTTTTTATGGCACGCAAATCTGCACGCACTTGTTTCTTGTATGCGCGCATCTCAAAAATGCACGCAACTGCAGGCACGTAGATGCGAGATTTTCTTCAATTATTGTTTCTAAGATAGGCGAGTTCAATGATGCCAGTGGAGACTTCTAGAATCCGACTCTTGACCACATGCTTTGTTGTTCAGGCACTAATTCGCTTTCGTGATTGTCGATATGCCGCTGAATGTCACGGGAGACAGGGCACATAAAGGCTAGACTAAGAGCAGTGTCAATTCAACTAGGCTGATCGCCACTCTCGTGAACGATAATCATAGTATCCCGATGCGGTTAACACCTGACAGGTATACGTTGAGAACTGGAAGCTGAAATTCAAGCGCATGTAACAGGGGGATATATTCGTTTGCACCAAGTGAGGGTTGCTTTAACTGCATAGACATCGGGAGTACTTACGCGGTTGTTACTCTAGGAGAACTTAAGTCATTGCAAACTTTTGAAACTGTTGGGAAATACATGGTGGCTGGTACATGAACTATAAAGCTTATATCTCTACGCAGCCGACCGCCTGACTTCCCAGTCACTTGACACCGCTGAAGATGGTGTGTGCCCTCTGTCAATGTTGCGGCCTAATAATACGCATAGTTCTGAAGTCCGGCATGACCATCTAACTTTCAAATTGAGCGCTCAACCATTCATATCGCTGCGCATCTTCCACAAAAAAACAGGTAACAAGCGCTCTACCATTCAATCTACCAGGAGATCCCAGCCACTCAGCTGACTACCTTATTTAAGGCTCGGTTTGCATTCCAACATAAAAGGGGACAAACACTCATCCCATTCTTCATTCGCTTGGTCCCCCCATCCAAGGTCAGCCATTTTAACTACCAAGCTTTACGCGCAGTGGACCAACTTACTAATCTCACAAACTTGGCTTAGATTAGACCATAACAAAGCTCACAAATTCACCCTCAGACTACTCGCACCACAGAACGTAAGTACTTTTCCTCCCAGTCCCGCCTCTTCCCACTTTAGTACCCACACTAACACCGCTGACTGCCCCTCCTCTCAGCACACAGTTATGGCCAACCCTAGTGGCGGCACCCCAGGAATGGGCAGCAATCCCAGCGGTGGTACTCCCGGAATGGGCAACAATCCTAGCGGCGGTACCCCTGGAATGGGTAATAACCCCAGCGGCGGAACACCGGGTATGGGTAACAATCCTAGCGGAGGATATTGGTGATTAGTAGGATGTCGAAGAATTGGAATGCCATATCCCCAACCGCTTGTAATATCATTGGAAGTCTGTATTTTTCCACCAATTCTGTTGTCAACTTCTCTAGTTAACTTCCTGCTACGACATTCTCGGCTGTAGGCAAATTTTATGATGAGAACTATTGATTTTAACTGTTGATAATTTGTGATTCCTCACCCATAACCAAAATCAAAGTGAAATAAGATGGCGAGTCTTCCAGTAAGGGAGTTTATATAGCTGACCTGCAGCCGTAGACCCCATTATTACAACGTTCGACTACTCATCAAGAATGAATGGACCCACCTCTGAACAGTCGCTATCGCCGGAAGGGGAACGGTAACCGCAACATTTCCCAATAGTTTTATCGCTTGAGCGCCACGGGAAGCAGATTGCTTGTTTCGAACGGTGCCAGGCCTTCCGAGGTCCTCGTAGAAGTGTCCGACGTTTTTTTATATCTAGCCACTGAAGAAACCGGAGCGTTCTATTAAGGCGTTGCGAGTATCAAACGTGCCCAAGAGTAAATTCGCGGTCAAGCGCAGACCTACTACTGCTGTTGCTGCCACGAATTTTACATCTGTGTGACAGCAGAAGGGTGAGTGATAGTGCGTTCGTTGCATGGTGGGTGATTGGTGCCGTTCCTAGAGATGAACAAATATGTCAGTCAGAACGATTGGGAGACGGGAAAAGAGAACCAGCCTGAGGGAAAATCCCAACGAACGAAAAAGAAAAAGGGAACCAGTTTGTATTTCAACAGAATAACGTATTTGAAACTGTAAGTACTGGGGACTGGAAGTTGTGAGTAAGTATTTACATCAAAGAGGAGGAAAGGTATTTTTCACTTTGAAAAGGCAAGTGAATTGTAATAAAAGTACAAAAATTTCATTCTTGCGATTGAGAGGTGTCCTTGGTCATGTGCATGCCGTACAACGTCGCTTCATCTGCTTCACTTGGGGTAGTAAGTTCGGGATCTTTCTTGCACCATTTCCGATGTTTTTTCCAATCCTAGAAAGTAAAAAAAGAATCCGTGAGATGCCGGACAAGTAAGAGAGGAGAAAAAGAACTTGCTGCCTTTTGACATTCTTTACTGCAATATTGTGGTTTCCGGATACTCGCGCAGGAGCCTCCACATTTACGGAGCGACTCCTCAGGCTTCTTCATAAAGCAGCGTGCACAAATTTGTGGCTTGCGCGGCTGATAGCCCGTCTCCTCCTGGAGAATTTGGCGGTGTGCGAGCACAAGGTCGAGCTCCTCCCGCAGCTCCTGGTCGTACGTGGGCTGGAACTCGGCGCCGATGTTCAAGCTGGTCTCCGCCACGAAGTTGCATGCAAACGAGAAGTGACCAAGTCTACAGCTCTGCGCCGCAAAGTGAAGTGCCGCGACCCAGTTGCGGAAGGCCCCACTCGTACCCCGCCGGCTTTCAGCGTGTGGGTCATCACAGTGTACAAAGAGGTAGCACACGAGGCTGGCTGCGACACCCTTCTTCTCGGGAAGGAAAGGTCCTTCGTAGACGCGTCGGATCAGTTTGGCGCCCCGCTGCACGTCGACATTTGTGTCTACACCTGCCCATAACCTGTCGTGTGTCATCAGCGGGTAAGAAAAGGTACATTGAACATCTCACACCGGATGGCCAGTTCCAGCATGTCATCGACGTTCCCCTCCAGAGCCCCAATTGCCACCGACGCCGTCGTTTTCAGCCTCACCCTGCGATTGCGACACCCCTCGGAGACGTCCCCCCAATTGGACGGGGCGTAGTCGAATTCCATCGGTTCATCTCGAGAGTTGATCACGTAGGACTTGGTCGCTGGGGGGAAACACGTGGTGTAGAAGATAGCATACAGCCTCAAAGGATCGTCCCGGCGACCACGCTTGAAGGCTAGTTTTTCAGAGGTTATGTAGTCCAGGAATGTGGAGTCTGGAACCATTGTAGGATAGGCAATGGTGGACTTTGATGGATAGAAGCAAACAAGAAAAGCTTGAAGTGACCGGCTGACAAGTATTGCGATCGTTTATATCATTATATGAGAGAGGAAATCAATGATCAACATTTGCGCAAAGCTACATATTGTACAGTATACAAACGAGATAATGCAGAGAGTGAGATATCAATACATTTAGATCTGGGGTCGGAGGAGAAAGTCGGTCGGTCACTCCATGTCGAGCCTGGCCTTACAAGAAATGGACCTCAACACGATGTCTCGGCAAACGTCCAACTCATTCCACAGGGTGTGGTTGAAGTACCCAATATGACGCAGATTATCTCGAAGGGTGTCCAAACGGGCCGCTGTCTGGAACAACGGGTCCTCTGCTTCCGTCAAGGAAAAGGTCGAGGAAACTTGCGCGATCTCCTCTGAAATAGTCTTCGCACTCCTATCTGGCTCAGTTGGAGGCGTCGAGATGGCAGAGGACGACGAGGCCATCGTGTCGACGCTTGTAGTTGAACTGGACCCAGAAACAAGTAGCCCCAGAAACTTGATCACTCCGCGGCTTTCGGTTGGCACTCCTGCCGAAGGAGATGGGACCACAGGACCAAGCTGAGAGTGCGCTTGAGGGACAGGCAGAGGAACCAAAGGCAGAGGGTGAATCAAGTCCCTGATCCACTCAGGAATTACCTTCCTGAACAACTCAGCTTGGTTCTTGGTGTGCAAATATATCACGAGCTCCGGGAACGTGTCCAGGTGCGGAACGTACATCAGGACCCGCGGAAGCTCCTCGTGCAGACGACGAGGAAGGAGGGGAGTATCCGGCACCTTTGGAGGGGCCAAGTTGGGTACGTTGAGGATGAAGAGGAGGTCGTTGATCGGGAGCTCGATGACTTCGGGATAGGTGACGGCCTTTTTCTTGCGGCTTGGTAAGGTGCCTTGGGGGTCTACTGGAGGGGCTATAGGGCAGCTTGGCATCGTAGCGTAGACTACGAGGACGTGGGTAAGGCCTAGTGGTCTTGGGGAGATGAGCTTCTCAGAAGTACTTAGCCGTGGCTCGATCGGTAAGGTGGTGGATCCGTTTGTGCCAGCTGAGTTGAGACGGCTTTCGATGCTTGTCAAGGTAGCCCCAGAGAAGGTGTAGATAGACGACGTCGACAGTACCCGTCGGATCCGAGGACTTGCGACGACGTTGTTTGAGTTTTCGTCTGATACCGTCGGGACCGCTGACAGTGATTTGCCAAAGACGGAAAGACGTGTCGTCGCTTCTCGTAGCTTGACTGTCTGGCGTTTTTGAGCATTATACAGCCAATGCCTGGAAATCTCACAACGTAACTCAGATGGTCAGTAGCAATAGAATAGTGGAACATACCCAGTGGTAATCGGAATGTGCATCTTGAGAGCCTGTCGCACTTCTTCGATGGTCTGATCGCTGATCAGTAAAGATTCGCGGTCCGGCGCGACGTCGAGGAGGGAGCTGCGGTTGATTTCGCGCTCCACGGGGTAGATTTGCGTGCCCTCTAGGCTGGGCAACAAAGAAAGCACAGGCAGTGTCGAGTTGGAGACGGGCATTTTGCTGGTGAGAGCGAGGGATGAAAGGGGAGGAAAGTGTTTTTTGAGAAGGAGGGCGGGCGACCCATTTTGAATGATTTGAGTGTGGCCACAGGCCACCGCGTAAGTTGATGGTTGTGGACAGGTGGCTTGAAGTTGATGTGCACGAGGACGGCGATTTCCTAAAAAGGAGAGCGTCGGGTCCTAACAAAAGGCGCCCGACTTTACAAGCTTCACATGCACAACTGATTGTCATGGAAGGGGAAAATTAGTCTAACAGTCAACTTGACAGCAAGTTGAACAGCAAAACATGGCTTCTGAAGGGAATGCGAGCTTCAATGTTAGTTCGTACGTTCAAATTCGCGTCCATATTTCTACCCTATGATTTCCCCTCCAGCTCCACCAATACACGCGCCTTTTAGCCATCCTCCTCAATCGCTACTCCTCAAACAACCTTCACCCATCCAATTGCGCCACCAAGTCTCTTTGCACACAAAATCTCTACTCCCAGCGGATACCTCCTCGGACCAAAGAATCCACTAGCACTCCCCAGGATGCTCAATCCTCGCCAACACAACACAAAGGCGTAAACAGGGGTGGTTTAACTTCAGTTGACCCCACCTAGGCCGTTCAACCAACCCGCCCTTCCTAACGGGCATCTTACTCCTCATTGAGCCTGCTCAGCCCACGAGCTCTTTCTCCACACAACCCTCAAAGACGCGTCTACGCCCAGTGCCGGCTCAGCGTGGACGAATCCTACAAGATCCACTCCATCCGTCTTTCCGTCTTTCGAAGGCTCAACGTCTCTCTCAAGAGCGTTGTTGAGCCGTTGCTGGAACCAAAGGTTGATTCTTCAGTTCCACGGGCAGTTAGTGCTCAGTGGAGAGTGGAGAAATTTGACAAGGACGCTGCCGAACGGATTTGAGTTGCGTATCGTGGCGTCAGGACCCGGGGAGGTATGAGTTTGGTAATTGCAGGATGGTGTCGGTCGTGCAGTAGGGCTAGACATCTGGTGTCCAAGAAGTCAAAGTTCTACGGACGTGCGTCGGTAGGACATGAATGGGTCCGCTGAGCTCGTAAAGAGCGAGAGTGTTACGGAAACGCGGAGCGGAGAGTGCCATTAGAGTGCACTGCAATTATTTATCGTTGAGTCAGTCAAGTGAATAGTAGATACGAGCATCAGAGCTGGGCGTACCGTCAGTCCAGAGAGAATCCTTGTGACATCGCGAGAGCGGTAGAGCAAAATCAACACCACCGAGACTCCAAGCAAATGTCTTCCACCATCCACCAATATCCCTCCACCAACTCCGGCCCTCTCCAAGAAGCGCCATTTCGCCCTTTCTGCGTACGCCCCCCAAAGCGGTGTTGAAGGCAACTGCGGCGAGTTTTACCCCTTTGGTCACCTCGATGCGGGCCGAGGCGTAGAATCTTTGGGGAAGTGAGACAAATTCACTGTGGCCCTGGGTTTCGGGGAGAGGCAATGTGAGGAAAAACTGGGCGGCCGAATGATGCATCGTGGGCTCAGCGCCCAACCCTTGCAGCTTAGCAACATTCTTCCTCTCCATTGAAAAAGATTCGCTCGAACCTTGTCCACGATATCCGCTCATGGACGTTGAACAAGACGAGAACCTCGTCTTATTCAAGATCCCGGATCCGTCGCTGTCGCAACACAGTGAAACGAGGAGGCCATGCAAACATGGTGACTAAAAGGCCTTCCCAATGATCGACATAATCCAGGAAGGTAGCGAAAGGGTCGGCAAGATAGTCGGGTTCTGCAGTCGAGAATAGGCAGTACAGGAGAAGATGATATTGTGGGGTAGGAGGCGTGTTGCCGCTGCTGAGGGTTGGGACATCAAGACATTGCCGAGGAGGATTGGTTTTTCGTTGACGGTCGGTTCAGAAAGAAGGAAGTGGGTGTGCGAGAGATTACATTGAGATTCCAATAGAGCCAGCTGCGTAAACAGTTGTTAGCTACCGCCGGTTAAGAATACAAAGGAATATGAACTCACTTGATTCCTCACATTGGCCCCGACGAAGCAAATGCATCAGCACTGAGCACGACCCGCTAAGCTACCGCGCAGCACCTCCGTCCTTGTAAAAGAGTTGGAGGCATGAAAACGGATGTTCAAACGAAGGCGAACTCTGTGCCTTTGGGTGCTGAGGCCTCGATGATCCGGTCACTCACCGCGAGCGATGGGCACACTGGAAGGGCTGTTTAGACACAAAAAAAGAGGTGTGGATCGCGACCGTGTTCTGGCTTCGGGGGCTGAGACTTGACACCAACTACTACCAAAAAGATTGTCAGCCGAGGCTTCCGCGTCCAGCTAGTACACTTCGCACCTGGAATTCTTGAGACATCTTCGCTGCTGTACGAACTCGTACGCAGGTGTGGAGCACCGCCCATCACAATAGGCGCCTTCGGCGTCAACAGATTCTACTACCTCGTCGTGAACCCTTGGGTCCCATACAGAACAAGGATGCCAGAGAGTCAAGTCCATCCACAAAAGAAGGTAAGCCGCCGGGGAATGAGAAAGACAAATGCAAGAGAAAAGCTCTGGAAGGGAGCATCGTCGATGTGACTCAGCAACGCTGACTTGTTTGACATGGCATTCGTTGACAAACAATGTGTCAGCTACCTCCTTTAGCCTTGCTCCCTGTTGAGCTCAACGTCGACCACAGCGCCCGAACAGCGCACCCATGCTTTAAGGTCCCTACAGTGCGGTACCAGGCTTTTTGGCGAAGCTTTGGAAGCCCTAAAAGACCACGCGATCACTGAGTACTGTTGCTCAATTCAATTACCTTCCGATGCCTCCCACAGTGGGGACTTCAAGACAGACGACGACCGCCTACGACTCAACAACCAAGTTAGTAGAAGACGATGAAGCGCGACCGTCAGTCTTCTGGGGAAGGGGAGCTTCGCGACGGTGTATAAGGGATACCACGAGGTGAGAAGTGCAATCAACATGCCAGTGCTTGTGCTCACCATATCCAGGAAACGCGACATCAAGTCGCCATCAAGACCGTCAAACGTGGACACCTCAGCGCCAAGCTTTTTGACAACCTCCAAAGTGAAATCCAAATCTTAAAGTCACTATCACACAGGCACATTACTATCCGCATCCTCGGGCGGGCGGTTTAGATGAAATCGTTGTTCAGAGCTTTCTACGACAACTTGCCCGTGCTCTCAAATTCTTGCGGCACCGAAACTTAATTCACAGGGATATCAAGCCACAGGTAAAAACCTCCACCTCCTGCCATAATCCTAACTTACACATCTTAGAACCTGCTCCTCAATCTTGCCCCTCCTGAAGAACTCGCTCGTGGGCACCCTTTAGGTGTACCCATCCTTAAAGTGGCAGATTTTGGTTTTGCACGGTCGTTACCCAATGTGATGATGGCTGAAACACTATGTGGATCTCCGTGAATAGGGTGGAATTAGCCATGATTCAATCTCGTTCAATGTTTTACAACAGGTTGTACATGGCTCTGAGATACTGATATACGAGAAGTATGACGCCAAGGCTGACCTTTGGTCAGTAGGCGCTGTATTGTACGAAATGGCGGTCGGAAAAGCACCCTTCCGAGCTATGAATCACATCGAGTTGCTGAAGAAAATCGAAAACTCTAAGGGCATCAAATTCCCTGACGAGGATCCTACAACTGCGAAGACACTTGGGGGTGGAAGTGAGGATTCCCCAGTTCCAAGCGATGTCAAGAAGCTCATCAGGACACTTCTGAAACGGAACCCGCCCGAACGCGCAAGCTTCGAAGAGTTTTTTGGGAGCACGGCGCTCGCAAAGTCAAAGTTCCCGAGACCGCGGGAGTCGGAGCCGGAGCCTGCTGAGAGCTCGTCGTCGACTGCACCTGAACAAGACAAGCCTTGGACTGCGCGACCCTCGACACCCGAACACCACCGGGTGATACCGCCGGAGGTTCTCGACCCAAAGGCTATGATCCCCCCAAGCAAATTCAATTTTAGGAGGGTATCTGGTGGGGCAGAAGAATGAGATGGTAGTCCCCATTCTGCAAATGGAGCGCTTCCCAGGGACAGGTGGGTGCCTTGTTTTCGTTGAAAACACCTATCAATATCTTTTCAGTCAATCATCATCTCGAGATAAGGTCGTTGCACCTGTCACTAGACCACGGGGACCATCATTCACGGGTGCGAATGAGCGACACCAGTCGCTCAAGCCGCTCTCCACAGAAGGCTCCTTTATACCTGGAGAAAAAGAAGAAGATGGCCAGCTGCGTCGCGAATACGTGCTGGTTGACGATACTCGAGCTGTCGAGTGCGTCTACCCCCTTCTAGATCGTTTCCCACCTGACTCATTACTCTAGAAATCACATCCCAGCCCCGACGACCATTACACGACCGGAAAATCCCTCCAACACCCTCAACGGACGATTACCCCCCAGAATACCCCATACCGACGAACAACAATGGCGCTAACAATGTCAACATCACATTCTCACCACCACCCAACATCTCTGCCCCACCTCTCTCCTCCTCCCCTTCCAGCATGGCTTCAAGGGCGGCATCGAACGCCCTAAATAGAACTTTGAGTCTTGCGTCCAAGAAGTTGTTTGGGCATTCCTCATCAGGGCACTCACGCGCATCTCCGTCAAGAGATCAAAGCAGTGTGCCGTCGTCGCCTCGACGGCCGCAGATCATCACGCTGGACGGAGAAGGGGAGCGGGACCCTCTTGAGGATGATTTGCTATCTTCCCTTGAAGAGTTAGCGCAGAAGACGGACGTGCTTACGCACTGGGCGGATGAGATGTATGAGTACGTCGAGGCGGTGCCTCAGAGTTAGTTGTCCTCTTTCCCTAGATTGGCTGTGTGCTAATCTGATTATTAGAGCCTCTACCCGATCCTACCAAGTTCATCAAACGCGAGGGCGAGGCAGAGAAACACGGGAAACGGCGGAAACACGCTGACATAGAAGCGGAATACAATGCCGTTACATGCGTCGCAGTGTACATGCTGCTTATGTCGTTCTCGCAGAAGGGCATCAACAAGCTGAGGAACTTCCAGGAACATATGAAGATGCGCCATCCGGATGGGAATTTTGTCGTCAGTGATGGGTTTGATGACGGTAAGACTATTCCTGGCCTCTCTAGTGACGACCTTGGGATAACGTTGTGTTGGTTTAAAGACCACTTTATGAAGTGCAATGACCGCGCAGCCTTGGTGAAGACATGGTTGCCGGTTCAGTACGATGGCCCGAAGAGTTGGCTTGACCAGCTTGTGTATGATCGTGCTCTGGTTCTGGTAGGTCCGAGATTGTTGTACCCGTCAACCAACTCACGCCCCTGCCTTCAGAGCCGAACAGCTGCTCGGAAGGAGCTCCTCGATCAAGCGACGAGCCCAGACGAATGCGAGAAGCTATATGAAGAATCCTTGTGGTGCCTTTACGCACTACAAGACGACCTATTGCAGACGGGTAATCCATACATGGATGAGGGTCGGGAAACAATCAGTACCTGTACGCTGCCCTGCTTCAAGTCCTTCTAAAGCATCCTCTGATAGCCCCACGTTGCAGGGATCAAACGCACGAAACTGCGGTTATTGCGGTGTCGTGCCCGAATGGGCATGAATGACCACGATCGTCTGAACGACGCGAGAGCCGACCAGAACTTGGCCGACGTGGCGCGGATCCCTGCTCCATGGGAAGCGAAGCCTATATCAGACACGTCGCGGAATTCTCCAACTCCTACATCGTCATGAAGTACCTGCTTTCTCTTTCGCATTTCTGTGTGAGTAGATGACACGCGTGAGACTATATCTATTGGCATTCAATATTCATCCTCCTGTATTATATATATGGAGACGATTCTCATCCACATCATCCGTCGTTTTTATTTGGATGGACTCTGCTATTACTTTTGCTTTATCTTCATCTGGTGTCTCGTTGCATATGCATCTTATATCATTGTGTCCTTGCTGTATTAACCTTGTATCCTATCTGATGCGTTGTATCCGAGTCGTGGAGCGCGAGTCCAGACGTCCACTACTGACGCAAGGAACAAGTGCATGACAACTGCTGATTTGCCGTGACAGGTGGGGGTTTAAAAAGGGTCTGGGAGTTGGCTGGCCATGCGGGCGACAAAAACAAATGTTCTTTTTGATAGGTTCTGCATTAGCTTCATCCACTCAGTCAAATTGTCTTTGCCTTAGGTATTAGAAATCGAAAGTTTTGTTGAGATCCTCATGCAGGAGCTTCTTCATTCCTGGAGGCAGTCGTGGCTCAGAGCCATCTGCGATATACCCTGTCATGTTAAATGAGTACAGGTTTCCTTCAGAGAAATAGAAACTTACTAAATGGCATCTCAACTGATTCTTTCGCGTTGAACTTGATCGTAGGATAGTCCTGGGATAGTTGTTATCACCGAAGGTGGGGGAGAAGGAGCCGGTATCAACTCACAATGTACGGAATATCATTCAGTTGAATCTTATCTTGAACAACAAGTTTCGTCACTCCAAGAGCTGTGTCAGTGGTCATTTGCACAGACCCTAGATGTCGAGTGGGAAACCCCAGGATGCGGAGTTCTCCAGTTCTGTCACGCGGAGGGTCGTCGCCTTCAGGCAAAGAGATTAACCGTCCGGGATTGTGTGTTTTCAACGGAAAGCCATACCAAGAATCCCCTGTTTCCAACGAGTCAACAAAAGCCGAGTGGTGCTGATAGACCTTGGACGTACCCCGAAAAGAAACCATTCAAATCGACCATCCCCGTCTTCCGGCGACAGCTCCTTCTCAGCTTTTGGGTCCAACAAACACACGTTGTTCAAAGGGATGCCAGAATCCGCTAGCAATTCAATAACGCCATGTTGGTGGAAGGATACCCTTGCCAAATTATCTTCTTGCGCGTCGAATGTAGATCGTAGAAAGTCGCGCGATGATTTTGATAGATGAGTGAATTGGACATGGGATTCTGGTCCTGCGAGCGTGCGCATATGCTACTTGTTAGTGTGGATGTCAGCTGTTTGTCCACCGTGTGTTACATGGCATCGCGACTTACGGCGTACTCAAGTTCGACCCAAGGTGGAATTGTTTTGGTCGTTTCCTCGTCTTCTTCCATGTGTTCTGCGTATTTTCAATATTAGGAGGTCGTATAGCGGAGAGAAGACAGCTACCAATGACATAGGTGAATTTTCGCATGGCGATTGTGAAGTAAGAGGCAAGACAGATATTTAAATCTAATCTAATCTTCTGGAGTTCGGCAATATCCGACACAAGCAGCCCTGAGTCCAACATCCTTCTGTTCTACTGCTGCCTGTCTATCATAGGGCACATATCTTCTCCACTATGGCGACACCTCAAATGGTTTAAAGGCGCTCTCTCCAAATACAGGTCTCTTTGTTGAAGTGACCGGAGTCACTGCTCAAACGATCACCCCCTCCGAGAGTCGCTGACAGGAATTCGCCGACTTAAATCTGTTCGTAGCAGCCCATGATCCAAGGTTTCCACTCATTTCAAAATAACTGCTTTATATAGTTTTGCAGATTATCTTCCCCTGCCATCACCCTTTACTGCCTTAGCCGATCTACCAGTTCAAATTCGGCAACACCATGGAATCTACACCGTACACACTGATTGGCACCCCATTCTCCACCTTCACCCGTACAGTAGCGATGGGGTTGAGGTACAAGGGTTTGAAATACAACCAGGTATCTACACCACCATCGAGTCCGGTAGCCTTTGAACATCATCCCTTTGGTTTCCTACCTACCCTTATCATTCATGAGGACCAGGGCAAGCGCGTCGATGTCAAGCTGCGTGAAAGCCAGGCTATCGTCAGATTCATCGACAGGATCGCACCGAGTCCAAGCTTACACATTGCCCCTGGAGAGGGTGGGGCAGTTATCGAGGAGAAGATGTGGGAGTTGGTTAGTTTAGCAGCATGTTTCGGTGAGCTTGATGTTTAGAGGAATTTCATTGAATGAACTGAGAAAATCCAGGATATCCTATCGTCGAAGTCGGAGTGGTGAAGCCGCGCGTCAAAGCCATGGATGAAGGAAAGTTATCTGAAGAAAAAATCAGGCAGCAGCTTGAAAGCGGCGTCGTCAAGTTAAAGGAATTCCTTACACTTGTTGAATCTCTCATGGCCCCAGACGGCTTTGCCTTTGGGGAACACCCAAGCTGGGCAGATTTTTTTCTTTTCCCACTTATTGCCGATCTTCGGGCCCTTCACGAATGGAACGTTGTCGGGAGACGGTTGAACGAGTGGATGGGGAAGATGGATGAGCTTCCGGCCGTAAAAGAAACGACCCCCGGAACTTTGGCTGTCGGGGCAAGACCATGAAGTATTGGTTGTCATCCTATTTGTAAAGTAAGCCTTATGCAATTGTCCGTTCAAAAATCGACTTGCTTGACTTGAATCTCCTGGCACCATCTGAGCTCTTTTGAAAGCCACAAGTAGATTGCTTATCGATGAGCAATCCTCACAGTACGTCTTATGCATTCGAAGAGCGACTTAGCCACTACTTTAACTTACTTGGCTTCTACGACAACGCATTTTGACCCGGTATACAACTGCGGGGATAGGACGGTTTCACTTGGGCTCAAGAGCGCTTGCTTTTCTCAGGAGCTTGGCTAAGTCTCGTATGAGAAGAAGTATACTAGTCTTCGGCTGTCGTTGGCCTTGTGTATTGGTGACCTTTTGGCAAGCGAACTGTACTTGGGTGTACCTACTCAAGCTCACTCAAGTGCTCGGGCGGCGTTTCCACAGGTATATAACTTTGCTACTTTCTTGCGACATCGGTCCTGCATTCCATACCATGTGCCCACTTCTTCAGGATAATCAAGCGATCGCGTCGACCACTTGGATGGTCATTCTATCCCTCATTCCCTCAGACTTAGTCCGGGTGGGCGCTATATTACTCGGCAGCGTCGTCTTGCTCTTCAATATGGCACGCGCAGTGCGGCGCCCACGGGTTCTGATGGAGAAATTGCGAGTTCGACTCTTATCTTTGGAGGGAAAAATTCAAACCGCCGTTGATGAAAATATAATGGCCGAAGCGGACGCAAATTATATTGCGCAATTCGAAAGGAGCGTCGGAAGGTGGGTATCAATGTTGTCTACTCCGTAGGAAACAACACATTGATGACACTGGTTTTCACCCATGTAAGAATTCGATACAGGATATATGAGCTTCACGAGAAGACGCTTTTGGCGCACGGAATTTTACAAGAGGTGAAGGCTGTCTGGCGGGGTCACTCATCCGAAATTATCCTATGTTATCGGGATGTGGACGCTTTGGAAAGGGAAATTGAGGTATGTCACCATTTCGCTGTGTTGTGGGATTAATAATGGCCTGCAGATCAAGCGCGCAATGGTGCTGAAGAATCGGTATTATTTGTGGAAGTGACTAAACATAAGTATCGTAACCCCAACGTAACCCTTTGGTAACCCTGGGCGATAAATCCCATTCACCCTCGTGACCAATCCATGAACTTATACGCATTTTCCCCCTTCCTTTTTCCGCCAGTATTCCAAACGATCTTCCACGCTTGTGCTTCTCCATTATATATATGTGTACCTCTGTTACTTCGAGTCACAGCGGTCACCTATCGTCACAGTGTTCTTGAAGACGAATGTGACCCAGGTGTGACGTTCGCTTTCGTCCTTCGTCGCCAGTGAGTCCGAAGTCGAGCATTTTTCGTGCGTAAAGCTTACTGACGTGAGCAGGTGCTGTTGAACTTTGAAGCAAATGTGTGCCCAGGCGAACGTCAAAACATAACGGAACCAGCTGGTCGTGTTTGATCATCTTGACCTCGCCCTCATTGCAATCAAGGCCGCTTGCCAACGAAACTCATTCCAGGCCGCTCAACCTTCAACCCTACGACCTTTCATAAGAAAAAGTTACAACGTCCATCTCCAGGCGCCGCGTCGCCTCGCCTACGTGTACCAAGTAAACAACAATGGTTCTGAACTTCCCCCGTCTGTCGTCATCGTGCCCTCTTCCTCGTTGTGGTCCATCCGTGAAACCGAGAAGACACAGTGAATTTGAGGGAACGTCGCGATGGAAGGGGAGGAACTGGGTTCTTCGACTAGGATGTCTAGGCTCTGATGAAGTGAAAGTACGTACTTCTTTTCTCCTCTCTCTTTTTCCCAAAACACGTTGCTGACGCCGGCATACAGACCTACAAAGTCCACCCCGCTCTCATTCGTCATGCCCTCCTCTATTCTTTAGTAACCCACAAGAGAGGCAAGGGCTCACCGCTTTCTCCAACCTTCTCTTCCCCGTGGCCAACTCTGGGCTGCTGCACAAGATTCGAAAGAAAGCACTTGGCGGTCAACTCTGAGTGCATGGCCGAGCTACGTACAGGCCAGAGCAGAATCCTGCCGTATGTCCTTACCCCTTCTTGCTTGGATGGCGGACAGCAGAGAGGGAAACGGTTTCGGGAGATTGGGGGTGGCGATTCAGAGCGATGGTTGTCCCTGTTGGTGGCGAACTTTTTGGAGAGGTCCTTTCGACTGGGGTGAGTATGATACCTCGCGTCCCTCGTTCTTTGATCTTCCAGTATTCAACTTCCATTCCCTGTAGCCGCTACCTCCACCTCCGTTGGTAATCGACGGAGAATTTGACTAGTCGCTTCTGCCCTTTCGGTTTGCACATGGAATTGAGGACGGCCGTGCTGTGGAGTTCCTATCTGCATGGTAAGTCTCCCAAAATTGTTCCTCGATGATACGAACAACACCATCCCTTTGACAGAATGACTACCCTTATCAACGATCACGAAGAGCCTCCGGCTTCTTGAAACGTCTTTTGACTCCCACTATCCTCGCGATATTGGTGCCTGTTAAACTCATCATTTTGCTAGGCCATTCACACTCGCACCGGGACTCTTCACCCTCCTGTGGTCCGTCTTCTTGGTTCTCCCCTTCTGTCCTTACTCATGCATGTATCTTAGAACCTCGTCATGGTTTCTGCTCCCAGCCGGTGACAATTTACACTCTCCGTTTGTAGGGTATGGAAGTTGGTCCAACTTACGTTAGCGTCTATTCGGGAGGTCGTAAAACAACTTACTCATGACTTGAAGAATTATCAACGGAAAAGCCGAGCATGAGTAACCGATAGGACCATTTGAGGGATTTCGTCGATGGCAAGGATACCATGACGTTGGGTTATCGGTGAGGTTACACCCCAGTCATAACTCCAGAGGGCTGATCTATTTTTGCAGTGTTTTTGGTGCCCAGTGAGGACGCACGTCACTGTGAATACGTCGTTCCGAGTGATATGCGACTGGAGATCATATTATTATCAGGATGAGTTCTTGCTTTCTCGCTTCTTCTGCGGTCTAAACTTATTTCCACTATAGCTTTCCTTCGTCGGCGGACCAAGCGAAGTCGACGTCCGCGTATCTAATCACCGACTCATAGTACTAGCTAAAAGCTCAACGTTCGACGCTTGTCTTCGGGCTATAACGAATTCATATTAACGGCTCGCTCTTCTAACAACCTCAGAGTACACCGCTGGATCTATGCACATCGGTGGATTTTTTAAATCCTGACGGACAGCTGCTGCATAGGCTCCCTCCCTCCCGGACCCAAACCTCGACGACACATGCCCTACAATGTAACTCATCCTAGCGCGTAGACCCCACAATCGAGGAATCCGCTCGCTTGCAAGTCAACGCGACCGCCAACTCGGAGGACTTTGGGCCGTCGTCTTTGATTACTTTGCAGGCCATCATGCATTGACTTCGGGTCATGATCAGCGAGACTTTCTGCAGAGGCAGTGCACCGTTCATATGAGCCAGTTGTAGCTCCTCTCAAAAGTGGATTTGCCAGCCCACTTCCGGTTCCATTCCTCCTCTGAGCAACGAACGCAGCGGCTTCTCACACACTTAATTCTCGCAACATTCTGTCCCTGCTTCGAGATATCCTAACACCTATCTCCACCCACCCCAACCCCTGCTCCACGACACCGACGCAGGTCGCATATACACCACTTCCAATCACTTTCAGTCAAGTTAGCGCTGAATGGCCGTAAACCACTTCTTCACCCGCACCTCTCGCGGTATCCCGCATTCTCGACTCTGGGCATCTTCAACGCCAGAACCAAGCCAGAACTGTCTCGTTTGCGTCCTTTCCCGTGAATTCCGCAGGCAAAAGAAGGTAGTCTTCGCGTGATTCTTACATTTACAACAGCCTGTGCTCGTGTGTAAATTGAGAGGTAGTGCAATGTAATCGTCTGATCGATTCCTCAAATGAGTGTACCATTTGCTGAATGCCTACCCAGTTTTTACTTAATACCAGTCATCGTCGTTGTGAAACTTGTGAAAGTAGAAAGTTAACGAGTGGCCGTTCATGTTTTGGGAGATGGCGACATAATATTGACATGGGTAGTATCCCAACACGAATCGGTCAAGCTACGGAGTCAGGGCTGTAATGGTACGATTCCCATTGTAAGTAATATAATCAAACGTCTCGACTTTGCCGACGTTGAAGCTTGAGGCTGTTCTTTCGATCGGCTGAACAGAGACTGATGCTTGAAGCCCTCCCCCTCCTTCCCCTGGAGCAAAAGCACAGCATACATACGCACCCCAAACAAACCTATGTACGATGGTTGTGAGTACTAACGCGACACATGCGAAGCACTGAAGTCTTACTGACCTATGTGCAATAGCCACGCCCCCCATCCACCACAGGTGTCGATGTCCACGCGAGAAGAGACGAGGACCCTGATGAGTCTGGTGTTTCTCACCCTCGGCCTTTGCCCTCAGTAGTTCGTTATTGGTCGAAAAACCTTTGGAAAAGAAGGCGGGTATCAGTAACCATTGTCGTCGGTTGCTACTAATCCAAACTTACAAGACCCTAATGAGCAAAGCAATCCGTATGTGTGACGTTGACGTTGCGGCAGCCCATGCTCACAACGGAGGATCTACGCTGTGTGAACGCTGAGTCCGGAGACAACGAGTTCTTGTAGTACGGGGAGAGATCGGGGCCACTGGGTGGTACATATACCATGTACGTAACAACAAATAGAGCGTCGGGATTGAGGTAAACGAGAATCTCTGAGCAGTGCTCGAGCTTTGGGAAAGGAGAATGATTGAATAGCCACATAGCTGGGTGCAACCGAACAGATGATCGATGCATTTGAAAGGTCTGCCTATAGCCACTGGCAAAGAGATGAACGAGCTTATGGAGGCGGGTTCGTTAAAAGGATTAAACGATGGCGAAATTTTCTTCGTGAGTCGATGCACGAGGGGATGCAAGTTGACCGGTCGTGCGGGTCATGGTGGAAGAAAGAGGGTACAAGCATCGAAGTTGGGCTTGCGTTGGTGTTAAGAAACCAGAACCTGAGTAACGAACGGGGGCAGTTAGCGAACAAAATATCGAATATATGCGAGGTGAAAGGCATCCAGAGGTCGAGGGAGGAAGGGTACGAATGAATAAGTAACGCAAGGGCGATAGCTTACCAAAGGAGAGATGGCCGTTATCCCCACTCTCCAGCTCTCCGACTGAGGCTTGCGCTTATAACCAGATGGACGGCAGTGACGCAGCATGGTGTGTGGAGCTTTTCAAGAGGGTATCGAGCTGGGCATCGTTCAAAACGCCCACTACGTCTGCAACCGAAAGGCCGTTAGGACAGGCGTTGTCGACCTGTAGGAACGAAATATTGACGATCAACTTGAACTAACGAAGTCTCCTCCGTGTTATGCAAAGTGGCTTCAAGCGCGTTACGGTGGTAGTGCAAAGATGGAATTGTAGCAAAAAAGGCCGATTCCAATCCTGTTTGTACCGTAAGCATCCAGTGAACTTCGCAATTCCAAGATTTGAATTGCCAGACTAGTGGAAATCTGTGGTTTGCGGTCTTGTATGGTTTACAAGCATGACGAAGTTAAGAGGACCGGAACTGTTACAGAATTATCAATGTATTAGACTAACGGAGAGGGTATGGTCGCGGCACAGAAGGGGAAAACGAGCTAAGGTAGAAAGAGGAGCAAGACTAACAGAAGGAGGAACTCACTCAGAGCTGATTCAGGAATGAAGCCCATGCAGCGCATCCTTTGAATCTCAACGGCTCCCTCCTCTCTCTATATCAGCACAAGTCGACAAAATCGATCATCGGGTTTCATTTTGATCACAGCGGGAGGTCGGGTCTCCAAGCGATGTCGGCAGTAGCTGAACGACCCAGAGAGGAAACATTGGACGACTCGTCGTGAAACCCCCTTCAACGAGGGGAACAAAGACAACGTCGACTTGACACCAAGTTGGAGCGCCCATAGGTGGGTCGCGGAACATTCTGGTGGCGTGTTTAGGGTCGGCTTCCGATGGACGACCTGAACACGCATCTTCCTCTTAACTTCCATCTCGTCGTCTACAATGTGTACTCTACCTAGCGACCCTTTCGTCGAACCGTTCTACAGTCTGAAAAAAGCATTCACGAGATTACTCTCTCCGATACCTGAATCCACGGATGGTATTAGCATCAATATAGCTCGCCCCAGCTCTGCCCCGCCTATCTTGATAACTCAATCTTCGACCATCTGCGCAGCAAACATAGCCACGAGTAAGATACTTTTTAATCTTCCTGCCCCAAAGTGAACATTGATCACTCATTAAATCAAATTTCCAGGTGACCAGGTTGATGTCTCTGGGGGTGGAGTGGTTGAGCACTCGCAACAAGTTTTGCCTATCTCCACTGGTCTGCATTAACCCCAAACTGCTATGGTTCATGATTGGTAACACTCATATAGATTTCCTGAGATCTCACCTGCCTACCTCTCCACCAATTGCTCCTGTTCTGAATGAAGGCCTGGTCTCAGCAGGTACTGAAATGACTGTTGCTTGTGAGTTACTTCTCAATGTTTTGCTATAAGGTTGATATTGACCTTCATCAATTCTAATTACACAGTTAATCAGGTTGAAGGGCCTGCACAAGGAGCTGTTGATTTCTTGCAACACCCTTCTCCCATCTTGGCTGGTTCATGCTTGCTCCAAATATCTATATTCAATTTCTGATAACTCTGTTTAGATTTTACAAGTTCTGACTTGCCTATTTCTCTATCCATTCCTTCTCTGAATGCAGAAGTGATGCCTGCTGGTCAGTATCCTTACAAATATAGTTCAGGCTTGCTCAAATCAGACAGACCATGCAGAGCTCTTGACAAATCTTCAAGCTGACATTATAAACAACATTTCAGCTCAAAATGTGAACACAGGCCCTAACTATGGTTTGTTGCATTTGGACCATCAGGTTTTATTGCCTTCACTTATATTTCAATAGGTACCATCAATCAAGGTGAGTAGTAAAAAAAAAATCATTTTCATCTCAACATTGTTGGGTGTTGGTAGGGGTGGACCCAAATATTCAAATCACACTTGAGATGATCAAGGATGAACAACTGGGTATCATTGCAGGTCATTATTTCAAACATGTAATTGACACCATTTTTTTGTTACAGGGAAGGAGATTTATAAGTGGCTTTCTCCACCCAAGGAGTCTATTAACTACAATGCTGCACTAACAATTCTGGAGAGTCAACCAGACACCTGTCAATGGTTTCTTAAGGGAAATACATTTTATGGGTGGCTCAAACAGCCTGGCTTTCTCTGGATCAAGGGGAAATGTAAGTTTGCTCTCAAAATTTGTATATGTTATTGACAGTCTATCCAGCTGGCTCTGGGAAAACCATTTTAAGGTTGATTATCTCAACATTTTTATGGAATTAAATTGATTTTTCTTGTCACAGCTCAGCAATAATTCACAATATTTCCCAACGATTCAATTTTGCTACTGCATATTTCTTTTTTGATGGAAGAGACTCACAGAAGGATTTCCAGCTGCATGATGAACTGCTGCGATCACTCATCTGGCAATTTTCTCTCAAATATGAGGGTAGACTGCCTAAGGTCTTAGGGAATCTGTATGCTCACTGTGACAATGGCCATCGAGAGCCAACTCTGGGTGATCTGCAGAATACTCTTCAAACAATTCTTGATGGCTTTAGCTCAACATTCATTGTTCTGGATGCTCTTGATGAATGCACTGAAAGGGAAAAGGTTCTTAGCTGGATTCAGACTTTTATACTGGGGAAAGATGGAAATCTTGGGCTTCACTTGATAGTTACTAGCCGCCCAGAACAGGAGATTGAGGACAAGTTCAATTCTTCTCATTATCTTGATTTGGTTAAGGAATCTGAGAATCATGATCTTGAAGCCCATCTTGACTATCAGCTTCAGAATGACTTTGACTTGCAAAAATGGAATTCTGACATTCGAGAACAAATCAAGTTGAGGTTGATGGAACAAGCAGATGGAATGTATGTTTATTATCAACATCTGAATGACTTGATGATTGTTAAACAAAATTTCAAGGTTTCGTTGGGTTGCATTACAGCTAAATGAGCTTAAAGAGTGCCATACAAAAACTGATCTGAAAAAGCAGCTAGCTGATCTACCTCAGGGTTTGGAGAAAACATATGATCGAATCTTGCTGGGGATCAAGAAAAAAGATCACAGTTATGTTAAGGTCTTTTTACAGTGGCTGTCATTTGCTGTTCGTCCACTTAAACTGACAGAACTGGCTGCAACTGCTGCTGTTGATCTTTCTGCTGAGAATGGATCAGAGTATAAATCTGATAATGAACTTCTAGATATCAAGGATGTCTTGAAAATGTGTTCTAGTTTGGTTATCCAATCAGAAGGTATAATTCAGAATATGCTAGGTTGAAATGATTGCTAAATATCAAACAGGTGTCATCAAGCTTTCTCACTTTTCTGTCAAAGAATATCTCATATCTCAGTATATTCAAAGCCACAATGTGAAGCAAGTCCAATGCTTCAGTTTCAGTGAGGAGCTCTCACACTCTGTCATATCTCAAATCTGTCTGGCCTACCTTTTGCAATTCAACACTTCTGAGCCATGTCATATAAATCTGGATGTATCTTCCCCTCTTGCAAAGTATGCTGCAGAACACTGGATCACACATGCACATTCTGGTTGCCAGTCATCTTCAATATTTGCATTGATTATGAAGCTTCTGACTGATGGAAATAATGCTTTTGTGAACTGGGTTCGAATTTATGATATAGATAGCCAACGTATGGACCTAAAAAAACAGAGGGATGAGATTGCTAAACCACTATATTATGCATCACTGGCTGGACTAACTGAAGCATCATATATGTTGTTGGAAATGACGGTAGATGTAGATGCACAGGGAGGACTCTATGGAAATGCACTCCAGGCAGCAGCATATGGAGGCCATGAGGCAATTGCAAAGCTGCTCATAGAGAAGGGAGCAGATGTACATGTACAGGGAGGGGCATATAGAAATGCACTCCAGGCAGCATCATATGGAGGCCATGAGGCAATTGCAAAGTTGTTCATAGAGAAGGGAGTAGATGTAAATGCACTGGGAGGTGTCTATGGAAATGCACTCCAGGCAACATCACTTCAAGGCTATGAGGCCATTGCAAAGCTGCTCATAGACAAGGGAGCAGATGTAAATGCACAGGGAGGTGTCTATGGAAATGCACTCCAGGCAGCATCACTTCGAGGCTATGAGGCCATTGCAAAGCTGCTCATAGACAAGGGAGCAGATGTAAATGCACAAGGAGGAAAGTATAGAAATGCACTCCAGGCAGCATCATATGGAGGCCATTTTGCCATTTCAATGCTGCTCAGAGAGAAGGGAGCAGAAATCAGTGATGAGGAATGCAATGATGGGGAAAGTGGTGATGAGGAAGGCAATGATGGGGAAAGTGGTGATGAGGAAGGCAATGATGAGGAAAGTGGTGATGAGGAAGGCAATGATGAGGAAAGTGGTGATGAGGAAGGCAATGATGAGGAAAGTGGTGATGAGGAAGGCAATGATGGGGAAAGTGGTGATGAGGAAGGCAATGATAGGGAAAGTGGTGATGAGGAAGGCAGTGATGAGGAAAGTGGTGATGAGGAAGGCAATGATGAGGCAAGTGGTGATGAGGAAAGCAATGAGGAGGTAGAAATGACAAAAAGCACAGACAATGATGATGATGAGGAAAGTCATTCTGCAAATAGTAGTCATCGTGATATGCATGTTTCAGATTAAGTATATTTTTAGTAGGAGTAGTTACTCATGCATCTGTTCCAAGGTATTTAGCTACAGTCATTCACTGGTCAATGAGGCACCCAAATAAAGAATGGTGTCGGAAATTTTAAATACAAGGGATATGGACATTATAAACTGAGAGGAGTGTGCACATACATCATACCCTATGTAATATCTAGTTACAAACTCAAATTCACATTGTTGAATAATATATCGCATGCTATCAGTGCTGCAAACGAAGATCAGTGTGAAACCAGTCAATGAGGCAGATGTCATGCTGTCCCAATTTGGGCATTTTGCTTAGTCACTTCAGTTTCCCATCGCTTCGTCAGATGTCTGTGGCATGTGTGACAGAATGTGACCTTCTCCCTTTCAAGTGCGATTTGGTCCATTCAGTGGTTTTTGGTTCACTGGAGCATCAGCTCAGCTCAAAACTCTTGTAATTGAATATTTATGGTATGCCTTGAGATATTATCAAACAAAAATGGCTCTTTTCCGAAATCTAAGGCCAAGATCACTCAGATAATATTCAGTTTTATGCTGAATGAGCATTTATCTGCAGATATCAAGAGATCAAAACATGCTACACCTTAGAAACTTGGGATTACTATAAAGACTATATATGCGCACACAACAGAGAAAGAATTAAATAAATAGCTTGAGAACTGACCCTGGAAAAGTGTTTTGACTCATTGACTAGTGTGACTCAGTGTGGGAACCTGTTCAGGGAAAGCGTACTGAAGCAGTCCGTGTATCTATTGACGAAGTGTTCCTAGCAAGCCGAGGAGATGGAGGACAGGTTTTCATATTGGTGTAATGACCTTCAATGATTACCTAGGGATATTGAATGGTTGATCTCTTAACGTGAGTTGCTACTTTGCCCTGGTAAAGCCACAAGCATAGACAAACTCCCTTCTCCCGGAATGCTGCGAAGAAGTGTTGGAGACCTTCTGAGGAAGGATGGAGAGGAAAACTGTTAGCATATAGGGAGAGTCACGAGCTCTCCACTGACGAGATGATACCTATGCTACTGACCTAGTTCTTAACCCCTCTGAGACCAGTACTTTACAGTGCCCCACCCATTCCTGCAGGAATCCTGCAGGAATGGGGTCATTCCAGTGGAATTCCAGGGGAATCCTGCAGGAATAGAGTCATTCCAGTGGAATAGGACTGGAATCAGGCAGAGTAAGTTTTTTTCAACTCCAACCTTATCCTGATGACTTGGCATTCATATTTCCTTATAAAATTCACATGTAGAAGTCATAGATTGAGTTGTAATGTATTTGAAATGTATTACTACACACACTACACAGTTTATCTTAAAGGGAGGGGGTAGGGGAGGGACAAGGTGGGGGTGTATTTATATTTTTG